TCACACGCTCCCAGGGGTACACACCCGCACTCACACGCTCCCAGGGGTACACACCCGCACTCACACGCTCCCAGGGTTATACACTCACACTCACACGCTCCCAGGGGTACACACCGCACACTTATCCTTACCCCCTCCCTGGGTCATACCCCCATATTCACACACTCCCCTGGCTCACATTGCCAAGGGCACACATACAGTCTGCACATGCTCCCCTCATCTCATCCTCAAACCCACCCATTCCTCAGGTTCACACCAGACTCACACATTCCCTGGGCCACACTCCCCAAATCATACAAACGCATCATCACATGTTCTCCAGTTCACAGTCTCTGCCACACACACACTTCCCCAGGTCACACCCCACCTCCTATACTCCCTCGGCTACACACACTCTCAAGGTTACACCCCCACAGTCACACACACCCTGGGTCACACTGCCGGCCTTACATCCTTACCCAGGACGCTGAGTGTGGCCCCGTAGGCCCCGAGAAGCACTGAGAAGTGGCTGCTCTCACAAACAGCAGGGCACTTCTCCACCACTGTGGACATCAGGTCCACCAGCACCTCTGTAAGAAAGCCACACGAAACAGCCCCGCAGTGGGGCACATTCAGAACAGAGGGCAGAGCACCCCGGGACCGGCGCCAATGTCCCTCTCTAGGCCCTGTTTGTTTTTATTAAATCAAACAGGTCTTCAGAATAATCTCCGGTGCTAGGTCCTGAACAAGGCATTTAAGTCCATCTCCATTGCCCCCCTCAAATTTTAAGCCATTAGACCTTGATTAAGTACCCCCACCCCATGATCATGTTGCCACAAACTCACTATCTCTACCCCTGCTGGAATAGAAGAGCAAAGCCCCTTGTATTGTTCCCACCACTCAACCTACTTATTCGGATCATGGTTGTCTCCAGTCTGGTACTTGATGTGGGCAACTTTCTAACGGCTGTCTAAGCAGAGCCTTTGGACCATCTTCCACATCGCACTTGGTCATGTGGTCACGACACACTTACTGAACTAGGGGTGGAGCCACGACCCAGACTGCAATGGAAGCGTCCTCTCGCGGGGAGATGTCAAGAGGGATGTGGCAGTGTTTCTCCCTAGCGAGCTTCAATCTTCCCATTAAGATTCACACATGGATCCGATTTCCCTCGGGTCAGACTCCCACAGTTGCTTTCGCCCCTCCCAACTTCCCTAACTCCTGGAGCTGAATGCTCATCAATGATAAGGCAGTAAGGCCTCAAATACACTCTGTAAGACAGAACAGGTCTTGAAACGGAATATCAGGGGGTCTGCATTGTGGTTGTCCAGGGAAACAGTTCCTGGTATGGACCGACAAACTGAACCGCCTACGTCTGCTCTGTGGCATGCCTCCGCCCCCCCTGGACACACATGGAGAAGAGTGCGGGCCACCGCCAGTGTGATGGATGGGCGTGGGAAGGTCACCTTTCACTTGGGGGTCTGGGCTTTCCTCTCCTGGGGCCTGCAGCATACTCGGCAGAAACAGCGAATGCTGGGTGAGCATCATGTGGACCACGGGGAGCTGGACGAGTTCCGTGCACAGGGCGCTCTCTGGGAAATACAAGTGCTGTATGGCAGCATGGAGTGCCTTTAAGAACGCATGATCCTGATAGCGAAGCCTAGGAGGGAGAGTCAAGAGAGCAGAGATTCACTACAACCAACAAGAGAAAAACCCACTAGTTGCCACTAAGCATGAACCCCGACTCAAGGAGAGCCTGTGTGTGTGTCTGAGTGGACTGTGCTTGACGGGTTTTCAGAAGTAGATTGCCTGCCCTCTCTTCTGGGGAAATTATGGTGGACTCGAATCGTTAACCTTTGGCATTGGTGCAATGGATAAGTGCTCGAAAGGTTGGCAGTTCGAATCCACTAATTACACTACAAGAGAACGACGTGGCAGTGGCTGCTGCAGAGAGCACAGTGGTGGAGACTCCTCTGCCCCACTGCTGGAGTCGAGGTGACGACACACAACAGGCAGCTGTGGGTTCCCACGAGGCCCGTTCAGGGACGCCTGAGCTTCCCTGACGGAGTTTCACTGCACACACAACACATCCAGCAATTTTTCTCCTGATTTTTCTGGGAAACATTTCCAAACATACTTCACAGGTGAGAACCTTTCAGGGACCATCTAAGCTCCCATCATCTAAGTTCTGTCATTCACACAGATTAAACTTGCTCGATCATGGGTCCGGAGCCCTGGAGGTATCGTGGTTACTCGTTGGCTGCTCACCACAGTCAGGAGCTCAAAACCACCAGCTGCTCCATGGGACAAAGACGGGCCTTTTCATTCCCGTGCAGAGCTACAGAAACCCACAGGAGCCCTTCTACCCCATCCTATCAGGTCGCTCCGAGTCGGAACCAACAGTATGGCATGGAGTTTAGTTTTGGCACCATAAGGCTGTTCCATCCAACCATGACGGGGAAATTAATACCGTAGCCAGCATCAAACACCATTCAGGACTCTCTGATTGCTAAAGCTGAAAGTCTGACCACATCAAACGTTGGCAAGGACACGGGGCGAAATGAACCTCTCAGAGAATGCCAACATCTGGCAAGAATGAAGTGTGCCCACAGCAAGTCCCCTCTTCCTGAGAAACTCTGCCAACATGTGCACCAGGAGACCCGTGATGCTGACGGCAAAACAAGCTGTATCAGCAAAAGCCAGAAAAAAAGAAGTTACCCAGCTGTCCACCATCGGGGACTGATTACATAGACCACGATACAGTCATAAGGCCCACTCTAAAAACATACAAACAAACCCAACCAAATCCACTGCCCTGGAGTTGATTTTGGCTCACAGTGGTGACCCTATAGGACAAGGGAGAACTGCCCCTAAGGGTTTCTGAGACTGCAAGCGTGCACAGGAGTGGAAAACCCGTCTTCCTCCTGCTGAGCAGCCGGTGGGTTTGCACTGCGGGCCTTATAGTTAGTAGCCCAACGTGTAAGCACTCTGCCTCCAGGGCTCCTCGTGGAATACTCTACAGCGGTAAAAATAAAGCACATGGGTCTGTGTGATGAATGAATCAAAGACAGTCAGATGGAAAAACGAACAGACACAGAATGGCGCTGATGCTGTTAACGGCCGTTGGGTTGATCCCAGCATGCAGTGCCCCCATCTACAACAAACAGAATGCTACAGTGTGGGTCCTGCATCTTCTCTGTGACCAGTTCAGCACGGAACTACTGTGGCCCGGGGTTTGCATCAGCTGAATTTCAGAAGTAGATCACCAGGACTTTCTTTGAAGCGCCACTGATAGCTACTCAGCATCACAGCAACACGCAAGCTTCCACAAACAGGTGGACCGTGGTGGCTTCCCAGAAGGTGCGCTGGCTGGAAATTAGTGTGCCATATTAAAACCACTAAACAATATTACTGCTTAAAGCAACATACTGACACAAAATCAAACTATGAAAACTTGCATGGGCCTGAGAGAGCTCAGTCCCAGGAATGATGACCTTCAGTGGGTGGAGGGATGGAAGAGGACGAATTACAGCAACCACAGAATCTGGCACCATTTTCTACATGTGGGTCCTGCTGCATTACTGAGCCATTTCTGGGTTTGTAAATTATTTCATTTTTAAAAGGGCTGCTCCTCTAGTTTTCATCAGAAACATCCAACATTCCAACAGGCAAATTACCCGCCTGCTCAACAATCCACACCTTTCTCTAAATCTGGAACAACACCTGCTCTATACACAGATGCAGTGTGGTGGGGATCTCTATAAAGGCCTTTTCGGCCAAGCTCTTATAACCCCCACCGAATGCCTGAGTGGGACTATACCAATGAGGTGTTTGTGACCTACCACGGAAATTGGACAGCTGGCTAATAAGGCTAATGAGGTGCAAGGCAACATTGTGGGGTTAGAACTCACTGCGGCCAAGTCAATTCCAACTCATAGTGACCCTATAGGACAGGATAGCACTGCCCCTGTGGGTTTCCAAGACTGTAACTCTTCATGGGGATAGAAAGCCTCATCTCTCTCCTGTGAGCAGTTGCTGGTTTCAACTTGTGGCTGACCTTGGGGTTAGCAGCCCAATGCATAACCACTACATCACCAGGGCTCCATGCGCATCAGGTTTATGGAACCCTAACAAGGGGATACGTCCGTTTTGCAATCCCACGAGGCTTAAAATGAAACCGCCCCTGAGGCAGAGGGGAGACCTTACAGTCACCAAGAAAGAAGAGCTAGGAGTGAAGTACCCTGTGGAGCCAGGAGCTCTGAGCTGAGTGCCTCCTAGACTAAGGTGACCAGACGTCCCGATTTTTAACATTTTTTCCCACGTCCCGTGGCGTTTTAAAAAAGTCCTGATTTTTGGAAAGAATGCATGACAAGCTGGGGTATGCGGTTTTCGGCTGCCATGTGGCTATTTCGCCAGGATATGAGTTTTATCAATGGTGTCCCGCTTTACCAATATTAAAATCTGGCCACCTTATCCTAGACCCAAGAGACAGACAAGAAGCGGTAACACTGGAGACAGTATGAGATGGTGAGAGGCAGCATCAGAGAATGGCAGCAACAGATTGCAGAAGGAGGAGACTGTCAGGAGACGGTGCGGTGGGCAACCTGACCCGTGGAGCTAGAGTCGCGCATCTTCAGGCCAAGGCTTACTGGCAGAGGCGGGTGCCCCGGGCACGTACTGGAAGAGCTGAAGAGCTCCGTAACACTCGCCAAAGGAAGGAAGAGGCTAGGCCAGACCCAAAGGTACCAGGGCTGAGAAAAGCCCATTTGTGCGCACAGCTGAGAAGCTGTCCCAACTGGATAAAAACAACAAATGCATCCTGAGTCACTCCTGACCCTAAATTATAACCGACTTCCCTAATAAACCCCTAATCATGAGTGTAGCCTGTGAGCTCTGTGTCCATTGCCACAAATTACTAAACCCAGAAGAGTGCCACAGGATCAGCTGTGTCAGAACTGTCTGACCTCTCTCACAGAAACCAGCCCTGGTCTGCTTCCCTGGCACCTCCTCCCCCCTGTGACGCTAGAAGAGGTCGGACGGCCCTGCCATGCCTTGCTGACACCGGCTTTGCATGACCGGTGACATCTGAAACGTCACTGAACCACCCCACGCCGGGAACAGGAGCAGCAACTCACCTGAGTCCAGTCTTCACAAATCTCTGCCAGTCACCTGGGTCAACTTCTTTAACGGATTGCTAAGGGGGTGAAAAAAAACAAAACCAAAGAATACATACGCATCATCCCAAATGATTGTTTAAATTACAAAATGCTCAAGCTGTGAACCTGCAAAAAGGCACCTGCGTCTCTGGCCTAGATTCTTCCACTGTAACGTACGGGAGTAAAGATTTGAAAAGCGATGCTCCGACGACCATTCCAGCTTTCACGAGTGCCCTCCGTTTGCGATGGCCCCTCTCTGTGCAATGTGTGACCAGTGGGAACTGGCTCAAAGTTACGGGGCGGAGGAGGGGCAGGAAGCAGAACCAAGATCTACCTCAGAACAGAGCAAAGGCTAAAATGCAGACCCCGGAAGCAAAGTGAAAGTCGTTCAATGTGGGCGATGGTTAGCCGAACAATAGCTGTGGCTGCTTATTTTGCTTCCTGCTGGGCACTCTGACAGTTTCTCGCATGCCAGCTCACCAGTGGGCGGAGGGAACACCCCAAGCAAGCAGCCCCGATGTGGTGGTTTCCCTCTTATCACCGAAGCAGCGCGACTGGACATTGCCAGCTCCCGCGCACTGGGTCCCAGGAGAGTCCCGTGGAGAGGTGGGTAGAATGGGCAGATCAAGGTGGGAAACAGACCTTCCAAGGGCAGAGTGTGCCTAGACTTTGGGTGGGCTGGGGGAACCTCGGTGCCCAACAGAATGTGAAGGAAACTGAGAGGCGACCGGACCCTGGTCTTTCCCCGCAGCAGCTCCTCTTTCAGGCACTTGCCGGAAGGCGAGCAGTCACCAAAGGTGCAGAGAAGGGCCAGGCAATGTTGTTCACTCTGTCATAGCAAGCACACGGCAGGTGGGCACATGGAGGGTCTGCAATATTTGAGTGCTTAAATCCACCATGCGACATCCACCCACCTGGGGAAGACCAGGGGCCACTGCAGGCCCTGAGTCACTGACAGGGAAAAATCTCTCAATGCGCTTCAAAAGGAAAAAGGAAAAAAATTCTAGGCTTCAAACAGCAGGCACGATCCTGTTTGTACTTAAACATATTTAATTTTTATGACGCACATGTACACACCATCCATATTTAGCAAGAAGGATATTTACCAAACATCATGGGATGGTTCTGGGCAGGGGGGCATTGTACCTTCTTTTTTAAAGAAGATTTTTTTCCCCTTATATTTGCAATACAGGAGCCCTGGTGGTGTAGTGGTTACGCACTGGGCACAATCCACATGGTCGGCGGTTCGAAACCCCCAGCAGCTCTGCAGGAGGAAGACTTTCTACTCCTGTAAACAGTATCAGTCTCAGAAACCCACAGGGGGTTGCTGTGAGTCAGCATAGAGCAAAGAATCTTGCTAGGGTGAAAGACAGTCATGTCATGATACCAGAAACAAGCTCATTAAGATTCATCAAAATTCTAAACATTCATACAACTAAAAACAGAGCTTCCCAACACAGGAAGCTAAAACTGACAAAACTGCAAGGAGAAAAATAAATCTACTTTATACCTAGAGATTAGTCCAATACATTTCTTTCAATTATTAATAGACAAAAAAAATCACTAAGGATATAGAATGTTTGCACAACCTATCTACCACTTGAATTAATGCCTATAACACTCCATGCAAAATAACAGAGAACTCATTGATTTCATGTGCACAAAAATATTTGCAAGATAAACCACATTCTGGTCTATAAACCAATTTCATTAACTGTTAAAAGAATTCAGGTCATGTGAAATATATTCTCTAAAGACGTGAAATGAACTTTAAAAATCAATAACATGAAGATTTATATACGTCTCAATAACTCATAGACCAAAGAAAAATGTATCACTGAATGAAAAATGAATGTGTACTATAGACTACTGAGACTTGGGACTCTGTTCTTTCAAAGAGTGCAACATCCTTCATGGGCCACATCAGAGGGCTCCCACATCATGTGGAAGTCTTGCTAAGTAAACGAGGCTTTACCTCAAACTCACTTGTAGCCCTTGGACTCAAGGCTGAAACTCCCTAGTGTGAGAGGAGCTGATGACTGTGATCCCATGGGCACAGAAAGAGCGTAGGCTGCACTTTGGTTAGAATCTCTTGCACTGAAGGTGCATAATGAATGGTCGGCCGGAACTAGCATAGACTTACTATCTATTTTACTGCCTTCTTTGCTTTATTATGACATGTATTAATCTGGTAGGCATGTCTCTGGTGTTGTCAATGAATATTATTGTTTTGACCTATCAACAACTCCCATTGTTAGTATAAATAGTGTCCAATCACTTAAGAGTTTAACCTGTGCACATCAACAATTCATGTATTGCGGTTCATTGTTGGGCTATACGTACATAATTTCCTTTTCTCGATATTGTTTTAAATTCTATGCCATTGGCTAAATTAATGCCATTATCAATAGATCTATCTTACACTGCAGGAATATGATTGATAATGTTCTCTAACATAAAATGACAGTGAAAAAAACCCAAAAAACATATGAACACAAAAAAAGACAATGATATCTCTAAGGTAAACCAGATACATAAACCATAGCTATATAAAAGGACCTGGGACTCACACATAATTCCAGCCTCAATCTAAGAACAATTAGTTCTTATGACTTGGCCTTGCTTGATGCTCAACCTCCCTCATGACGAGATCACTGAAGATATGGGTGCTATAGTAAAGTGTGGTGAAGAAACTAGATGGTGCATAACTATTAGAAGGAACAGCATCTGGGGTCTTAATGACTTGCTTTCAAACAAGCAGCCATCAAACAAGCGAGGCATCAACTAAGTCAACGTGGAAGAAGCACACGAGCCTATGTGATCCAAGGATTGTAAAATGAAAATTCGAAATCTAAAGGAGGGAATGGTATCAGAGCTTAACTTCTGAAGACCTGGTTTGCAGAAGGCTGTGGATGACAGCGGAAGCCCAACATGCATTGTCAGGTCTACACATGGATTAAGCTTCTGGCGAATGCTCTCTGAGCAAAGGTGAGGGATGTGAATAGCTTGATTATCACAGAGGGCACCATAAAGTTGATTATGGAAGATGTAGTTAGGTTAAAATGCAGTTAGGTTATCATTTGATCTCCCTTTGACCCATGTAAAAGTTGTTTCAGTTTAAAAAACAAAAATGACGGGGAAATAGATGTGGATTTAAGCCTCTAATGAATCTCCTCTGACCATGAATCAGGGATGTGAACAGACTTGCTATCATGCAGAATGAATTGGAAGGTGGATTACTGCATATATAATTAGGTTAAAAGTTAACATCTTATCATTTAGCTCTTTCCTTTGGTCATTTTAAATTTTTTCTAGTTTTTAATATTTTCTGCTTGCTTTCCTATTGAAGTTTTCATCTGTTTTACTTTGCTATTGTTGCTAATTTTGTTATCTTCTTTTAAAATGTTTTTCCATATATGAAATCCAGGATAGGTAAATGCAGAGACAGGAACTGGATTAATGGTTCCTTGGAGGTATGGCAGGGGAGGCTAGGGAGAAATGGGGAGCTGGTATCAATGAGAGCGAGAGAAAATAAAATGTTCTAGAATTGATTGTGGTGATGATTGTACAACTCTTCTTTAAGTGACTGAACTGTTGAGTTGTACGTTATGTGAATTGTAAGCCAATAAAATGGTTAAAAAAAAAGAAATCAAAAGGTTTTTCATTGAGATGAATAAAATTAACAAACTTCTAACCAGATTGGTTAGCACACGAGAAAACACAACTGTTATAACCAGGAATGAGAAACCTGGTATCATTAAATTTTACAAATAAAGAAAAAGATGAGAATACTACTAGCAATGAATTCAGCAACTTGGGTGAAATGAACTAGCTTCTTAGAGACACACTGTACACCCATGCTCATAAAGAAACGGTCCCATGTTAGCATGTGTTAAATAAGTCGAACGTGTAGTTACAGTGGGTGCCTTTCACGCTTGCCTACCTTTCAGTCGACGTGGTCACATAGTGCCAACTCCCCCTTACTGTGTATTGCCTTTGCTTTCACGGTAATGGACCGTGTTATCTAGTTAATGATCTTCTCTTCCCCCTCCCCGCCCCATCCCTGGTAATCACCGTGGAACCACACTTAGTATGTGCAACCCTTTCTCCACTGTTTTAACAGAGGTCTCACACAACAGCTGTCCTTCATGGTCTACTTTACTCGTATGACATCCTTGGATCCCTCCACGCTTTGAGACGTCTTGTGATACTTCACTATGCTTTATCACTGCATAGTATTCCACTGCACGTATGTATCAGTTTTCCAATTATCTATTGATAGTCATTTACGCTGGTTCCATACTTTTGCTATTGGGAATACAATAAGTACGCGTGTGGCTTCGTCTGTTTGTGCCACACCTCTTATTTCTCTAGAGCAGCGGTTCTCAACCTGTAGGTCGTGACCCCTTTGGAGGGTAGAACGACCCGTTCACAGGGGTCGCCTTAGACCATCGGAAAACACATACTTCCACTGGTCTTAAGAACTGAGACACAGCTCTTCTATCCATCTCCAGACGGGTCCGCCCACATGCAGATAGGCCCACGTACAAGTACCCGGCGTGATGACATCATCACGCCAACCCCATCACATACGCCCCGTACAAAGACAGGTGTATGTGACAGGGTTGGTGCCATAATGTACTTATGTGGACCAGTCACACGTGTGTAGAGAGAAGCTACTGTGTTGAAAGCTACCTGTAAAAGCAGCTACTCTGTTGAAAGCAGCAGTACTGGAGGTAAAACGACACTTCATGAATTATAATGACCATATCCACTCAAGTATTAGCCACATCAAATATCAGCCGAGGAACCTAATTTTACCACAAAAACTGCATTAAAAATGTGCTGGGGGAAAAAAGTGCTGGAAAAACTCAGCTTATACATGAGTATATACAGTACATATTGTTTTTGTGATTAACCACTATGCTTTAATTATGTTCAATTGGTAACAATGAAAATTCATCCTGCATACCAAATATTTGCATTATAATCCACAGCAGTAGCAAAATTACAGCTATGAAGTAGCAACGACAATAATGTTAGGTGGGGGTCACCACCACATGAGACCTGCATGAAAGGGTCCCGGCATGGGGAAGGTGGAGAACCCCTGCTCTAGAGCATGCACCTAGGTGGGGAATGCAGGACTGTACGGCTTTTCTACTTTGGGCTTTGTAAGGAAGCACATGCTGGTCCAGGGTGGCTTTACCATTCTGCATGCCCACCAGGAGTGCAAAAGCATTCGCAGCCTTCCCACAGCCGTGCCGCCATGTGTCTTTCTGTTTTGATGATCAGTGTCATTGTTGCTGGGGAGAGAGAGTATCTCACTGCAGTTCTGATCGGCATCTCTCTCATGGCCACTGATACAGAGCATCTTTGACTTTTTCTGTAAATGTCAGAGCTTAGACCTTTGTCAGAAATGTCGTTGCAAATATTTCCCCCGTTTATAGGTTCTCTCTTTTAACTCTTTTGGTAAAGTCTTTTGATGCGCACAAGTAAATTTAAAAATTCTTAACAAAAGATGAGTAAATGAAATCCAACAGGATATAAAAAGGATATCCCAAGAATGCAAGGATGGCTTAACATCATAAAGCAATGAACATAATTCACCATATTAACAGAGGAAAAAAACAAACAAACGAACCATATGATCCTAACAGCAGATGCAGGAAAAGTACTTGATAGAACTGATAGAAGATGAGTTTGCCCTGCAGCCACCACTCTGAATCCTAGTTGTATAAGGCTCCTCTCACTTCCCACCAGGCCACATTCATGCCACCTGGCTGGAAATGTATTTGTAACGCTTTGCTGGTCTGTCTCACCCTTCACCTTCAACATTACACCATCCTCCCAAGACAAGACACTCACCAACAGCTCTGTTAATCTCAGAAGCATTGGCTTCTCCAGATCCCGAGTACTGTCATGGTCTTGCTGGCTGTCACTAAAAGACACGATCAGCCATTTAATACACGATTCCAGAAGAATCTTTTTCCAGGTGTGCAGCTCTTCTGCGGATCCTTCCAAGACGAGGGAGACAGCGTCAGCCACAATCCAGCTGCAGCGGAGGACAAATGGCACAGTCACAGGAGACGCTTTCACAGGTAACCCAGCACTACAACGGGCCGTGTGGGGCAGAGGACAGTGGCATACACTCCTGCCTCACATCCTGCTCCCCACATGACTCAATCACAGGAATCCTAGACTTGCCCTGCCTCCCATCAAACATCAGAGATGTAACAAGCTTTATGACTGGGGATAGGGAGGGAAGTGGAGTGTGGAAACATATTAGCACACCAGAAAAAGGATATGAGTCAGGGTTATTCAGCGTTAGCACTACTGATATTTGGGAGCAGACAATTCTCTGTGGTGGGAGGTATCCTGTGCATTGTAGCATGCTTAGCAGCATCCCGGGCTTCCACCCTCTGGATGCCAGGATCACATCCTTCCTCAGAACAAGCAAGGATGTCAGGCATTGTCAAAGGACCCCAGGGGACAAAGCCACCCTCAGTTGCGAAGCACTGCTCTGCAGGAATCACACTGAGGGATCGCTTGTAGAGATACAGCTGTTCCAGGCAAAAATGGATGGAAGGGTTCACACAGGAATTGTCCTCTCACGGACGGCCATCACGGTGCAGAGTTTCTTCAATAAATTAGTCTGCTGGTGGGCTGCCCACCTTAAGGTCAACCATTTGAAACCACCAGCTTTCTGCTCAGCAGATACACAGCCTCCGAAACCCACAAGGGCTGGGACCCAGCCTGAATGAAGGCAATAGCAGAGAGAGAAAGGGAATGGTGCAAAGGAGTGGGGAGCGGTGAGCCAGCAATATAAGCCTTCATACCTCTTATGACTGCTTGGCGCTTGCAGCAGGGTGGGCAGGTGGTCCATGAGAACCCGGAGATCCTTGGCTCTCACGAAGGGGACCAGCTGGGAGAGGACATCCGGGTGGAGACCACATTCAGGGAGGCTATCAGCACCAAGGAGCTGGTCCTGCAGCTGCCTCCACAGGGTCTTCCTCAAAACGGGCATGACAGCAGAGGGCACTGGGGCAGACACAAAGAGAGGTAGATGCATACAACAGTGCGCTGGAGCCGGCTCATGCCAGCTTGCCAAAGCTGCTCTCTTTAGGAATCTTCCGAGCCAGCTGGTGTCAGTCACTCTGGCACCTTGAAATCGGCTGCGGCAGGGTATTTACACCATGGAAATTGGCGGGTGCTCTGAAGCAGCCTTCCCCCAGAGCCGGCTGGCGGTTAAACAATCATCAGCATGCCACTCGTTCCTTCTCATCAGCTAACACTAACAAATGTCCCGGACTACCAGGGAGGGATCGGGTCTCCCAAGGGCTGCGTTCACTGAGAGGTGGACTGGGTACCTACTAGACACCCACTCCTGGAAGTGGTAGGAGAGGGTGGGTGCCTGCTACATTAAAAAAAAGAAACCTCTCTCATTAAGGGGGTTGAAAAAGCCGTGAAAACGAATGATGGTGATGGTTACATGATCCGACACGCACACCGAATGCCACCAAATTGCACACGTGAGGAACGTCGGACCGGGCCATGTTATATCACAATTAATGAAACAAAAACCCGATCTTGTAACTGACATGAAGTTATATAAAATGGAGGCAGAGCAGCAAAGTGAAAAACTGCTCACACGCTCAGGAAACAGAAATAAATCTGAGCAGCTCAAAGGTGCCTGATGAAAGAAGCCGGGCACAGGATCAGCTTCCCGGAACTGCCGCTCCAGCTGGGAAAGGCCAGGTGGGCTGAGCGATGCAGTAGTCTGACACGACCCCCTCAACCAGACAAGGTACAGCCGTGGTCTGCGCGACAGCCCAGGGTCAAGGGGACACAAGGAGCTACACCTTGGGACAGAAGGCTGGGGAGGCTGGAGGGCTCGGGGAGTAGTGTGGGGTCAGAATTCTGAGTCCTCTAAGCTGGGCCTGGGCAGTGAAGGGAATTAAGCCACACGCTAAGAGGTGAGGTCCCTGAGCTGAGGCAAGAACACGCAATTCACCTCACTAGCCCACCCCTTCAGGCCCCCAGGGCCAGACCGTACCTCCTGCTGGGCGTGTGAAATGTCCCAGAGAGCTGCACTGGAGGTACACGTGGACGAGGGGGAGGAAGACATCAAGGTTCCCCTGTAGGACACGCCTGGAGCCGGCCTGCAGGCACCACAGCTCAAACCGCAGCAGGTGGGTGCAGCTTTGTTGCAGGAGCAGGCTGACAGTGTCCAGGGCCACCGGCGTCTGCCGGGCCAAGCAGTAGTCGAGGAGGCCAACCCCGACCACGGGGGCCAGCTCGGGGTTTCTCTGCAGAGTGTGGAGGAACACCGCGTCCAGCTCCTCCATGGCCAGTGTGGGAAGCAAGGCCGCCAGACCCCTCACGTACTCGGTGGCGCAGAGGAGCTCGCCACGCGGCAGCTGGTCCTGGGGGCTGCCGGTCAACAGCTGGACCAGCATCTTGCCGAGAGCATTCAGGTGCTTCCCCTGCCTAGGGGACTTGGTGGGCCTCTGGGCCACCAGGCAGACCTCAGGCAGGCCCAGCAGAGCCAGGGTGATCTCTCGGATCTGGGTACCCCCCATGTATGGGTGCAGTGCCTGCAGGGCTTCCAGCTGCGGGAGGGTCCTGAATGACGCCTGGGCCAGGCCCGTACCCGCCCTCCGGATGCGCAGCTCCTTCAGCACACTCTGGGTGATGGCCTCCAGGTACCGGCTGAGGAGGCCCAGCTGGCCGATGTTCTGGAGAATGGGGGCGCTCGTGACCAGCAGCTGAAGAACCCCAGTGTTCAGCCCGGCTGCCAGCAGCTTCACGAGGATGGGGCTGAGGGTATGGGGGGGCAGGGCCTGCTGCTCCAGGGCCAGGAACCAGCTGTCCAGCGTGGGATGTCTGAGGACAGCCACCAGCACCTCCTCCAGCGTCTGGAGAATGAGCAGAGCACACGCGTCACCACAGAGGCGACCAGGCATGGGCCAGTGATCAGCGGCAGCCAGGCACGGGCCAGTGGTCACCACTGGCCAGACACTAACCCAGCATCAGCAAGCCGGAACCTAGATGCTGCCGGTGCAAGGCTGCGAGGCTGCCCACCGCACCCCATCTCCACCCTCAGGCACAGTGCTGCCAGCCACCTGTCTCTCCCACACACAGCGGTGAGCACCACGGGAACTGGACAGTGACCTGGCCAGACTCCTGCGAAGCCCAGGTGCACCTACTGAATGAGTTGACTGTGCAGCTACCTGCCCCCAGGTCTCGCCCCTTTGGGGGGACAGGTCCTGTGAGAGCGTCAGAATGAGGCTGGGGTCAATTGCCCACTCTGTTCCTTCCTCACAGGCTCGCCCTTCCATGCACCTGACCACTAAGCAGGTGAGCATGTCTTAGCTGGGCACACATGTCCCGGAGAGGAAGGTTATTCTCCATCCTGAACAAATGGGAATCCTGCGTCCACTCTGAGATGGGCTAAGCCTCAAGTGCGCCCTCCCTGCCCTCAATTCCCCAGCGAAATGAGATCCAACACAGCCGGCTGGGTCTACACCACTGTTCAGAAGACAGCCAGTGTGAGATGAGAGCCAATTACGACTCACTGTTACACAGAGCCTCGTTAACAATGATCCCGAGTCACGGACGTTATGCCAGTCCCCAGGGCCAGGAGCCAACCTTCTTCTAGCTTTATTTATTCTCAAAGGAGGGAAGGAGACAGCACCCACGCTTTCCAAGCCAGCGCCGCTGAGCTGAGAAACAGTACGTCCCATGGCAGCACTGCTTGGTCCCACACGGGCTGGCTGCTCCTACGACAATGAGCTGTCCCCTGTCACTTTGTGGTCATGGGGCGGCTTGGATGCTGCTGGGATGCTACAAGCAGTATCACTGTTTTCCAAATGCCAACACGGTCACCCATGGCAGCCACCTTCCAGGGAAGCTTCCAGCCAGAAAGCCTGGGGAGTTGGTTCCAATATTGCCGGACAGAGTGCCGAAAGATGAGCCCCGGGAAAGGAAGACACTCAAATGCACGGGGCCCGGCAAGACCCACGGTCATCAAGAGGGCACATGACCAGGCGGCGTTTCATCCTATTGCACGTGAGGGCCCCAAGAGTTGGGATTCAGGAACAAATCCCCCCGAGTCTCAACTTCGGGACCAGAGGAAGGAAGCCATGTATTTGCATCAGGCTGAGAAGTAGACTGGCCTCTTCAACGGTGAGAGCACAGTCACCGTGGCCCCAATCTACAGCCAGCTGCCCCAGGCAGGAGAGGGGAATGTGTTTGCTGCCTCCCTCCCACCCCTACCCCCCAGCGCAGTGCTGCGCAGACTGGAAAGCCTTGCCCACCACCTTCCCACCATTCAGCACGGGCTGTGACTACGTACAGAGAAATCACCCTGGGGCCACACCTCTCACAGTCTCCAGAACAGGGATATTGCCGGGCTGAGTGAACACAAACAGGTAGAGGCCCGGGCAGAGGGTGCTCATCTCTGGGTGGGGGCCTTGTAACAACTTCTCTTAGTTTCTCTCCGTTTTCCTACAGGTCTGTAGGCCGTCGGGGGAGGCCAGAAAGACAGTTCATCTGAGACGTGACCGAAAACAGCTCCCAAGGCCCCTCAGGGGCAGGTGGAAGTACCTGGTCACTGGCCAGCTCCAGAGAGGCCAAGGACTCCATGTCCAGGAAGAGGTCGGCCTCGGCTTGGGTGGCCTGGCCTCGCGGCTGCTTCTGGGCACCCAGGTGCTCACAGTGGACCAGCAGGGCCTGGAGGAGCCCCGTGAGGCACTGCAGGAGGGCTGGCCCCGCACTCCGGCCCAGCTGTGAGGAGGAGAAGAACACGAGCCCTCAGTCTCTGGACAGCGACTGCCTGCCCCGTGTCAGAGGAGCAACCCCGGCAGAGTGGAACCCAAGGATTGCACAGTTCCCTTGTGCAGAGGACAAGGGGCTTCAAAACCTTCACAGGAAAATGCAATGGAAAGACCATGGGTTTCCCCCACGCACTTTCGAAGACTCCCTCGTATTTGCAAAATGCCACAGCCTCAAAGACACGTTTCATGCAACAGATGTTTCTGCCTGAATCTGGAAAGGAGCATTTTGACAAAATGAGGGGATAGGACCCACCTCCAACGCTAAGCCCAACGTGTGTGAGCCAACTGCCCTGGACACAGGATGCTCAATGAGGGACCCAGTGAGTGCCCCAAGAAAGCCCGTGGGAGGGAGGGAGGGGGGTTTACTTTAAGAGGACCTTGTTCTGGGGGTGCCAGCGGTTAGTGGGCTTGGCTGCTCTCTGAAAGGTTGGAGGCCCCAATCAGCCCAGCACTGCCTGAGAGGAAAGGGCTGGCCATCTACTCCTGAGAGTCGCTGAGAATCTGCGGGCCCAGTTCTGCTCAGCCGCCCACACGCAGGCTGGGTCAACAGTGTCCCCGGAGCCTCTTCCAGCTCCAGGTCTGTAGCTGCTGAGCCGATCCCAATGCACAGTGACCCCACGGCTAGAACCTCCACAGCCTAAATGCTGCCACCAGGCTCCTTCCACCCAGCCCTGTCGCTCCTTTGGACCCTGCAAAGTCACCGTGCCTGGGGGCGGGAAGGCTGGACAAGGGGCAAGGGCAAGGCAGACCTGGCTGAAGTTCTCCACAGTGGTCCGGAGGTAGAGCAGCAGCTGTTTCGTGGCCCGGGGGACCTGCTGCAGCGGCAGGTGCGGGATGGCCCCCCGCAGCTGGGCCTCGATGCCCTCGTGCAGGAGCGCGCCCTCCTCCTCGTAGGCCGCCTTCAGCAGCGCGGCGAAGGGGGCATCTGGGGCAGGAGCACAAGGTGCAGTGCGGCCTGAGGCCTGCAGAGGCTGAGAGGAGACAAGTGAGCAGGGAGGAGACCCAGGGTGACAGACGCTCCCCACCCAGGGGGGATCTCACAGTAGCCTCAAGAAGTTAAGAAGCTCCTTGGAAGTAAACCACGGCCAATATAGTGCCACCGTGGCTCCGGGAGTGGTCCACGCTGAGCAGTGGGGAGTTGTGACCCCCCGCCCGCGTGTTAGAACCCCGACCCTGTGCCTCGGGGGTAATGGCCGTGCCTGAGCAGGGTGGGTTCCAGATCTAATCACCCCTGAATCATCCACAGCAGAATGGACACAGCTGGGGAGGGGGCATGTGAGTATCCAGGAGGAAGAAATCAACAACAGGGCCAAGACCCGGATGCGCACTGTCAACCTCCGGGACTGAGAGGAACTCAAAGGCACCCACGCGCAGCATGTGTAGCACGGCTACCCTCGGGAACCAATGCGGGGCCACTGCGCCCTCAGGAGCACACACTGCAGGTGGCAGCCGAGTGAGCTGGGGAGAGAGAGGGCTTTACTGGATGTCCCGAGCACCGGTGCCTGGAAACTTTGGGAAGTTCCACTCTGCAAGGAGCCAGGCCCGGCCAGGCTCCCCCAAGCTGTAATCAGAGCTTGTGGACAGGACAAGGGATGAACTGTACTCTGGAGTCATTCTGCTTCCCGTTGACCATTTCTTCTAACGTCAAACTGCCTCCCAATCCAACACATGGGCTTTGTAACGCATTGCCGGCTTCCTGATCTACCACATGGGCCTTATAATGCATTGCCGACTTCCTGATCTACCACATGGGCCTTATAACGTTCTCGCAGGGTTCCTGATCTACCATATGAGCCTTATAACGCATTGCCTTCTTCCTGACCTACCACATGGGCCTTATAACGTTATTGTGGGGTTCCTGATCTACCACATGGGCCTTATAACATTATCGTGGGGTTCCTGATCTACCACATGGGCCTTATAACGCATTGCTGGCTTCCTGATCTACCACATGGGCCTTATAACGTTACCGCGGAGCTCCCGAGGCGAACAAGCTCGGCTAGCTGTGCCCTCAGCATTCAGTGTGGCCTTCCAGCAGTGATGGCAGCTCCAGAGACCTTGCTGGAAGTCTCTGGCCTTACTTTGGACCAAACAAATCAGAACCGCGGGGCCGGGATGGGCTTGAGCAAGTCCCCAAGGGCCTGTGGTACGTCCTGGAGTGTGAGAATCGCCACTGCACCTCACGCAACAGAGCCGACACTCAGACTGAATGCTGGTGAGGCGTCACCCTGAACGCCCATCCATGCCATGACCATGACCATGGCCCCTCCCCCAGCACACAGTGGGGTGGCAGCAGTCAAGGGTGTGCTCCCTGGGGAGAGCCTGCCTCCAGTCCTGACTGCTGGAGGGCTCTTTGCCTTGGTGTCCCCAATTGTGGAGTGAGGTTAGGTCTTGACCTACTTCAGAGCTGTGAGGATGAAGCAGCTTACAACACACGCGGCACGCTTCATATGAAGCCTAGCACACAGGACACGTGCAGTCCGTATCAGCCGCTGTCACCAACACCGCCAAAGAGAGCCACACGGCCGGCTTTCTCGAGTCCCGCTAAACCACACTCAGCCAGGCTTATGTCATGCCTTTCCCGGCATTCATAAAAAACCTGCAGTAGGGTGCTGTGCCTTGGGTTGCTAACTATAAAGTGGTGGTTCAAATCCACCAGCCACTCTACAGAACAAAGATGAGGCTGCCTGCTCTCAAAACGACAGATAGTCTCAGAAACCCTTAGGGGCTCTCTCTGCCCTACAGAGCTGCTATGGGTAGGAACTGACTTGACTGGGGGTGGGTTGGGGGCTGGCTGGTTACAGCCAGAACTGTATATATGTATATACACATATGTATATGTATGTATACGTGTGTGTGTATATCTTTTTCTTTCTCAGTCTAAGCAAGATGAAACTTGGTGGGTGCTCCCAGGGCCAAGTCTGAAGGCTGAGAACTGCTACGTCTAGGGACCAGCTAGCATCCTTAGGAGAGTGGCTAAAGGCAAGTGTGCATTGGTCATTTAGAAGGAAAAATGGGAGGGAGGAGCGGGGAGGGAGGGGAAAAATGAGGACCTAATGCCGGGGGCTTAAGTGGAGAGGAAATGTTTTGAGAATGATGAGGGCAATGAATGTACAAATGCGCTTTATACAATGATGTGTGTATGGATTGTGATAAGAGTTGTATGAGCCCCTAATAAAATGATTAAAAAGAAGGAAAAACGAGAACAGCAGTGCCCAGCCAAATCGAAAAGAAGCCATGATCGGGTAACTGTCATGGTCATGGTCAGGGCATCAGGGGTACCCAGCCGTGGCCCACGGAAGAAGGCACAGTGTTTTCCGGGGTCTGCCCTGGCTCTGTGGAGAGGCGGCGCTCACCATGGCCTCGCGGGCCTGCTCCGGGATCCAGAGGCTGTAGTATTTCTGAAACCGGCAGAGCTGCTTGCCCCACGGGGAGCCCGCCAAGGGCTCTAGCTTGTCGGACGCCTGGAGCAGCAGGCACAGAGCCAGGGGGTCCCTCTGGGTGTGGAGGAGGTCCGTCAGCACTGACGTCAGGTATGCCTCGATGCTTGCTCCTGCCAAGGATGAGAAGCGGGGTGGTTTTCCATGAGCCCCTCTATGATTCATGTGCAACTCAGCATCCCACAAATATCCGAGAACCAGAGAAGTCTAGGCCAGCTCCATAGCTCCCGGAAGGGAGATGCTGCCACTGCAGAGGGTCCTGGCAGGCTGGTGTCTGCTGTGTTGAGTCAGCCCCGACAATCCACTGCAGACTCGCGTTTCCATGGCCTGATCTCACCCTGAGATCGTCTGGGAGCTCTGCAGAAACCTGTTCGGCATCACAGCAACCTGATCACGCCTCCACGGGCAGATGGGTGGGAGGTGGCTGCACATGAGGTGCCCTTAGGCTTCTGTTGTTAAAAACACACATGGCGCACAGCCAGACTTCCATGCTAGACCCAGGGGTGGAGACCCAGGGGCAGAGAAGCTGGGGCAAAAGCTGTGGGACCAGGGACAGGCTAGGTGCCCCGTCAGTCCTCGTTCCTGGCACATGTCTCCAGAGCCGGGACCACATGACAGACTCGTCACGTCCAGGCCTGGCCACGGCACGTCCTGCCGACTGCCCACTCTCCTCCGCTCCCACGGTGACCCTGCTATAGCTGCGTCAGGATGGCACAGCTACAAGAGGGGCACCATCTCCTGGAGGGCAGTCAGGGAGGAGAGAACATGGCCAAATTGGGCTATATCAAGGCCATGCAGTCACTGAAAGGCGCAGGCTTATTACTGCACCCAAACGTGCACTCCCCTGACTGACTGCGCCACTGAGATCAATGTGGGCAATTCCCCGAACACCCAGCAAGTAATGACTCCTATTCCTAATTTCAAGATGGCAAAAACGTACCTGGAGAGAAAGCGCGGATGTTGGGCTGGTGTCCATGCAGCCAGCCTGGACGCAGACTTATCCCTCAAATAACAAATCTCCCATCAGCCCCCGGCCAAGCCTCCTCGCCCTGTACTCAGAGCCCAGGCAGCTGGATAGTTATCGATGTGGCAGGACGGAGTGTCTGCTACCCTGAGCTTCCAGCAAGTAGAGTCGCCACCTCCTACCCCACACTGACTCTGCTGGCCTGATGCAGCCAGAGCACCTGGGCCATAAATGGATACCTGCTTTCTTCTCGGTCCCAAGCAGTAACTTATTCCTGGCTTCCAGGGCTGCGGGGACCACCGCGCTGAATGGGAAGGTGAGCAGGATCATGTCTTCATTCAACGAGAACCCAATTTCCTCATCCAGGCCTTCGCTGCCCTCCACCAGGACATCCACCATGTCCAGGACATCTGAAACAGAAAGTGGGGGGTCGGGGATGGGGGTGGGGGGTTAGAGCTCAGGTAAGAGCCTCCAAAGATTTCCCAGAAAGGCCCCCTAAAACCAAACTCCCTGCCACGAAGCCAGTGGCTCACATTGACCGTACAGGACCCTATGGGTCCCCAGAGCCATAACTCTTTCTTCCATCTTTCTCCCGTGGATCAGCAGGTGGTTTCAAACTGCTGACCTGTGGCTAGTAGTCCAACTCATAACCACGACACCACCTGGGGTTTGAAACCAAGAACCCCAGAGGGAAGGACAGGCAGGAGAACATTTGCAAAGAGAGACGTAAAATTATACTTTTGTCAGGGGAAAAGAATCAACACCCGGTTTGGTCCTACACTGATGACACTTTGCCTTCATAAAGCCTCAAGATCAAAATGAAATAGAGTTTCACGATCTTTGCCAACAAAACGCAGGTTACTCGGTTGAGTTAACCAAGAAGCACCCCACATTCCCAACGAATTGGAATCTGTAATGGGGAGGACTTAGATTTACAACGGGGAGGGGAAGGAATTATGGACAGCCCACATGGCCTCAAGTGATGCCAAGAGGAGAAGCCCGGGGTATTACCCTGGAACGCCGATTTACCAAAAGCAGAGCAGCAGTCATATATAGTATATACCAGGGCTAATGCAATGTCTGGGGAGTGTCTGGATTCAAATCTTGTCCTTGCTTCTTACTGGCTGTGTTAGCTTAGGCATGTTGTTTAACCTCTCTGTGCCGCAGCTGCCTCGTCTACAAAATCATCATACCTCCCCTCCCTCCTAGGTTGCTGAGGACCCTGGGTGACACACGTGGTTTGCTCTCAGCTCCTAACTACAAGATGGGCTCTTCAAATCCACGGCAGAGACCTGGTGCTCTACCTCCAGAAGACAAGCCAGTGGAAGTCCTCCGGAGCTCTTCTGTGCTGACCCGCGAGGGTCCCCATGCGCCAAGGCTGGGAAGCACTGAACAAATGAGAATGCACCATCAAGTACCGTAAGTGTCAACTGGTTGGCTGGTCATTCCATTAACAAGCTCGGTGGTTTTCATTTTCATAACAAGCTGTTTTCCTGACGCAAAGAAATGGCGGGGGCGCCTGCACTCAGCGTAAAGGCAGAACGGCAACACGCGCCCTCTTTATCCCACCATCAGGACCCGCGGGAGTGAGGGCCGTACCGTCGATGTGGGAGATGGGGATGCTGACATCGTCGGCCTCTTGCTTCGTCAGAGTGGCCTGCAGGGTGCTGGCTTCTTGGACGAAGTCAGAGGCTTTGTCTGTGTATGAATACGGATTCGCCACCACCGTCAGTAAGACCTGGGAACCACGGGGGCAAGGGCAGAGCATGCAGATGGCCACAGGGCAACGGGGAAAGGCCACAGGTGCCAGCGGCCACAATATAGGGAAGAGAGCTTCCTCTGAGCAGTGGTTTTACTTCAGTTTCCTCTCTGACCCATCCCGACCCCCCTTGACAGAGCAGGACTGCTCCACAGGGCTTCCCAAGGTGGGCATCTTCGCAGAAGCAGCCTGCCCTGTCTGCTCGCCCGCACAACGAAGGGCGCATCTGAACCGCTGGCCTTTCCCTGGGCTGGCAAGCACTCAGCTGCGGGCCCCCCAGGATGCCCCATCTCTGTCCTACTACTGCTTGCTATGAAAACCCATTCTCAAAAGGCATACCGAAAACTTCCTATTGCACAGATTCCAAAAATAAAGCCGATACGGAAGTTTCGGCCAGAGTTAGGAAGAAAGGCATGAAGAGCAGCCTCGGGGCACCGGCGCACCGCAATGTCTCCCGGGCACGCAGGCTAACTTAACCACGCCTCGGCATCCTCTGACCCTTTTACCCTGGAAGACGGGGCATGTGTGCTTACGCTTTCCAGAAACTGAATCACGGCCTCTTTTTCCCCCTCCGGCGTGTGGTCCAGGTGCTCCAGCCACAGCTCCAGCTCCTTCCAGGTGTGCTCAAACACCCCCGTGTCGCGCAGGATCTGTCAGGAGGCAGAGGCTCGGTGGAGACTCGGGAGGAGCCTGCATCCCGGGGGTGCGGACGCAGCTTAAGCATGCCCCCAGCAGAATGCAGAGGCTCATGGGGCATGCTTCTTAGCCAAAGCCACAACTTACTCTAAACCAGGGGTGGGGAGCGCCTGGGCTCCTGGCCATAGGAGGCCCTCAAACCCATCAGGACAGCTCATCCAAGCGAAGAGTTCCAGCCATCACATCAGGGACGAGCTCATGACAAGTCTGGCCAGTCTGGCCGGAGAAGGATGTTATGACGCCCAAAGGGCCCTCCGCAGGACAAAAGGCTCCCCACCCCCGGTCTAAGCATTCTTCCTTCCAAATAAGATCCCCCCTGCCCAGGGCAACCAGGAACACGATCAACGATCGTCCTGTGCTAAGACACCACAATGCCTCGTGCTCTGCTTCGGAGTCCCGTTCCTCAGTTCCTAAGTGAAAAGCAAGACTCCCTGCCAGCCAGTAGATTCCAACTCGGTGACCCTAGAGGGCAGGGTAGAACTGCCCCTGTGGGTTCCAAGACGGAAACGCTTAATGGGAGTAGAGCGCCTCACCTTCCTCCCACAGAGCAGCTGTGGTTTCGAACTGCTGAGTGTGTGGCTAGCAGCACACCGTGTGGCCCCTACTCCACAGGGGGCTCCCTGCTACGTAAGCAAGGAGAAAAACTCTGCTGCTACAGCTAGAGCCGGATCTCCGCCCGGCTATGGAGAGACGAGCAGAGCGTGCAGGACTCCTTGAGCCCTCCTGGCTACTCACCCCTCGGCAGGCACAGACTTCTCCCGGATAGCGAACCAGTTGCGCCACCCAAAGGGGCGAGAATTTGAACGAGGAGCAACCACCATTTCCGACAGGAGAGAACCTGTTCTGAAACTGGATTTGCTCTGGGGGTGCGTGGGAGCGACTGAGGATCCCACATGGCCTGAGCACACAGACTGGGCCTAGGATGGCCTTCTGGCACAGAGCTCAGCAGCAGAGGGCACCCAGGGCAAAGCGGACCAGGCTGATTTCACCACCCATTAGCAGTTTAAAAAGGAGGGGGTGCTCCGTGGGGGTGACCATGGCTGACAGCAAGGAGTGGACGAACTCCTAAACGAAAACTGCCCAGTCCTTCTTTGGAGGCCCCTCTGGGGCGATGTGAACCGCCAACCATTCTGTTAGTAGGCAAGCGCTTAGCCACGTGTGCCGCCCAGGGACTTCCTCTTACAGTTCGTGGTCATGGGACTGGCTGGCATTATGTTCGCACCTGCACTGCCTGTGCAGAAACCGCGGCCTGTGAGAATTCAGGGCTAAACCAAACAGCAAGCCCACTGCTGCCAAGTTGATTCTGACTCACGGGAACTCTTTCCGACCTGGAGAGCCATCCCTATGGGGTATCCAATGCTGTGATCTGTACAGTCGCTGTGAGGTGGAATTCACTGGACAAAAGTTAGTCTTTTTTTTTTTTTTTAATCTTTATGAGAGCAGACTGCCTCCTCTCTCTCCAGTGCAGTGGCTTACCCCACTGTGCCACCTGGGCTCCGTGCCCAGAGGCTCATTCCTCAAGCAGCTCGGGGGAGGAGAGTAAAGGGCCAAGAATCAGCCAGGAAGCGCTGCACTTTGTAGGCTCAACAGCGATGGTGGACAGGAGCCACTAGATCTCCTCCTGTGACAGTGAAAGCAGATGGAGCCAGGGGCAGCCGAGTCCCAGCCAGAGCAGAGAGGGGAGTAACAAATGGCTCAGCCCCTGAGTGTGACTCGGGATGGATGTTGGCGCTGTGGGGAAGGGTCCCTGGGACAAGGTCCCCAGAAAGCCTGAGAGTCTGCAGGTAAGGAGGCGAGGCAGACCCCACTGAAGAGCCACTGCTCAGGGCTGTGGGGCGTCCAGAGGGCCACTCCCTCAGTACATTTCTCCTGTGGCTTGAGTATCCCCATTCACCATGGGAAAAGAAGGTTCCGGAAAGATTAAGGAACTTGCCCAGTGCTACCCAGTAGGTAGGGACAGGATGTGAGAGCTCACACTTCCTCCCTTCATGAACTAGAGCATCCATGACATCTAGTTTTACAACAGTCTTTCAAAGCAGCCTTCAGGCAACAAGGGTTTCCTGAGCTGCTCCTGCAGGGATGACCTGGCCGAGCTCCTCTCGGTGCAAAGCTGGGGGGGAAAGGACTCAGAATGCTCACCTTGATGATCAGCAGTTTGGTGGACAACTTGAGCTGTGAATGGCCACTGGTCACAAACATCTTCATCAGTAAGTAAAACACCGACCGGTCTCCTCCAACAATTTCTGCATCTGGGCCCTCCTAGGGTTTACAACATTAGAAAAACAAGGGGGCTGTCACTTGCCGGACACACAGTGTATGCCTGGAGGCCTGGCCCTTTCCAGGACAGCGCTGTAACTCACGCCTCGGCAAGACACCTTTCTATTTTATTCTTGATATTTTATTTACGATGCAACTGGAAAGTGAAGGACCTCCCCCAAGCCCCCAGCACAGTCATGGTAGTAACCATGCAGAGCGTGAGAACAGGAAGTTGCCGTGACCTGTGCTGGCTACAAAGCTGTCTGTTTTACTTAGTGGAAACTGAGGCATCTGCAGAGCGGGTGACTCCCTTGCCGTTTGATGGTAGAGCTGGGGGTGAGATGCTATCCTGTGAGGGGTGGCAGCGAAAGAATAGGCCACTTCATCAGAAGCCAGCTCTGATAAAGCCAACCACTCCTATAGCCATTTAAAAGGCCTTTGGGCTTGGAGGGCACGTCTCAGAGAAGTACCAACCCAAAACAAGCCCACTGCCATCCAGTTGATGCCGGCTCACAGCAGCCCTCCCTGCAGGGCAGCGGGAACTGCCCCTGTGGGCTTCTGAGACTATCACTCTTTTTATTTTATCGTTTTATTAGGGGGAAATACAACCCTTATCACAATCCATACACACATCAATTGTGTAAAGCACATTTGTACATTCACTGTCCTCATCATTCTCAAAACATTTCCTCTCCACTTAAGCCCCCGGCAACAGGTCCTCATTTTTCCCCTCACTCCTCACTCCCACCTCCCTCATGAGTCCTTGATAGTTTATAAATTATTATTTTGTCATATATTGCCCTGAGACTATAACTCTTTATAGGAGTAGAACCCGTCTTTCTGAGGAGTGGCTGGTGGTTTTGAACTGAAGACCTTGCAGTTAGCAGCCCAATGTGTAACCACTACACCAGGGCTCCTTCAGAAAAGCACAGAGCTCCAAATCCCCAGCCCCAAGCAAGTCAGTGTTTGACTGCACTGAGGAAGGTCCAAACAGCACACAGTGGTGGGGTTAATCTAACCCAGAGGCCAGCCAGCAGATAAAGCCTTGCATGTGTAAGATGAGGCATGAGAACAAAGGACTATTTGGATAATAAGGGTTCTGTGGTAGCTACGTAATTTCATGTCAACTTGATAAATACGTCTAGGGGTGGTGTCTATCCTGTCAATCAGTTCACGGCCTGATGATGCCTCCTTGTGGGTGTGGCCTTCTCATGAGGATTCTGCGAACTTCCTCTTTCTCCTGGGAGGCAGACCACGTTCTCTCTCTGCCTCACCTTCCTGCTGAGGAGACACACACAGGAGCTGGAGGAGCCAGGTGGAGATGCTTCCACCACCACTGGATCCACAAGACTTTCCACCCACCAGCCTGTGATCTTCCTGCACATGGCATTATTGTGAGTGCTACGTGAGTCAGAAGAGGAATCTAGGGACTAATGCCGGACGTATGGACGTGATCTGGAATGGGCTGGGGTGTTTCTCTTGATATACAATTGCTCTTTGGTATCAAGCTGTCTCCTGAACACCCGAGTGTCTCTGGGTTTGTTTCTCTAAGTCAACCCAGACTAACACAGGTTCCTTCAAATTAAGGTTTCTTTCAGGAGTGTGAACAATTGATGCTCCTAGCTCTTCATCAAAAGGTTGCAGTTCAACCCAGAGCCCCCTTGTAAGAAAGGCCTGCAAGCTACCACACACACGAGAAGCCTGTGGAGTGCAGTTCTACTAACACACGTGGGATTACCACGAGCAGGAGTCGCCTGGCTCAACGCCTTCAAATTGATTGTGGTGGCTAGATAAATCCCAGATCGCCCACTAAGCCAATCATGTCCACATTTACCACGCAGTGACCCAGATTTCATTTCTCATGTGGTGCCAATAGTACCGATATCCTCATCCAAAACTCCACCACCATGAGCTACACTAAGTGCCCTCCTTGGTAACCGCTAATAATTCTCAGCTTTCTACTTATTTGTTTGCTTCGTGTAAATGAGCTCATACACTGTTTGTCCTTTTGCAGCTGACTTACTCTATCCAGGGGTTCTGGTGGCATCGTGGTTACACGTTAAGCCGTGATCTGAAAGGTCTGCAGTTTGAAACCACCATCCCCCGATGGTGAAAGATGGGGCTTTCTACTCCCGTGATGAGGTAGTCTGGGAAACTAGCAGGGGCAGTTTGGTGTGGGCTTTATTCCACCCAGCATGCTTCCAAGGTGCAGTCACGTGTCAGCAGGGCTTTCTCCTCCCTGAGCATGACTGACGTTCCACTGGGTCTACGCATCACGTTTTGCTGACTCGTTCATCTGCCATTTCCATCTTTGGGCTACGGTGCAAACAACTGCGATGAAGGCGGGCTTCTGCTCCAGCCTTGCCTTCGTGTGGCCACGCACCAAGACGGACATTTCTGGGTCAGGTGGGCCAGCTTTCCCAGTGGGCACTGCCATGCTTTTATATTCCCACCAGCAGTGAACGGGACTGCAGCTTCTCCACACCCTCACCGACGCTTGTTCGAACTGGCTCCCTGTTTAACTAGATTATCCAGCTGACACTGCCGGGGTGAAAACCAAATCGCCATGCCTCTGGGCTGTCACCCATCTCTCTGTGGTCTGTGGCTCACGGACTGCTTTGGGTCCCCGTCAGGATGTGTCAACTTGGCCAGGTCATGACCCTCGGTGGTTTTTCAGTCATGCAATGACGTCACTGTGGTCGCCACGTGACGTGAACTGATGTAATAAACCAGTGAGAGGACTGAAGGTGAGGAAAACACCCTTAATCCCATCCCAGGGCTGAGGTCCAGGTGTTGCCTGGGGTGTGGCCTACAGCACCTTCCATGAGAGAACATTTCAAAGAAGAAAGGAGCAGAGATCAAAGAGACCAGACCTGCACTGGGAACAAGGAGCTGGGAGTGGAGCGCCTCCTTTGGATCCAGGGGCTCAGGCCCTCCCACACCTGGGGCAAGATTGATGTCAAGAGCTCTCCGAGGGGTGCTGGGCCCACACATGTTGAAAGGAGACAAGGACCTTTCTGTGGGGGAAATCAGCACCTCACATTATCATGGGTCTGGTAGGCGCGATTGTACGGTTATGATATATAAAGATGATAGTAAAGTCATAGAGAATAAGAGAGATAGAACAGAAGTTAAAGGAGTCAGACACATTTCACGGTAGCATGTTCACCTCCTGGACGGCCATGATCTCACCAGCCAGGTCTGCGCACAGCACAGGCAGAGGAGAGGGGAGAAGAGAGAGAGCGATTTATTTCTAACCAAGGTTCATCTATCTTTTGGGGGTGTGCAAGCCCCCTGATTACAGGTAAAGAATACGTCACAGGAAGGGGTTGTACTATAGGTAATACAGTAATGGGAGGGGGATGATCTGAGGGTAATACATGTTCTAGGAAGAGGAGGGATTAAGGGCACACATGTGACATGAAGGGGGGATCCTAGATTCAGGATGGCAGCCTAACCTTGGATGTCATTAAACTGGTTTGACCTGTTCTGAGCTCTCCAGGGAGACAATCACTATCCTATCAACAGGGTGTGAGCCCCACCTAAGGTGGACCAGACAGTAGTCTGATTGCTCTGGACGGCTGATACCTTCAGGGAGAACATCTCCAAACATCTGACCTCCCACCATGTGCTGGCAAGCAGCCTCTTAGGTTTGGCACATATTTGGGGGGAGACAAAGCTTGGGAAAAGCCTACTTATATCCCACACCTTTCTTCAGAGCCGAGAGAGGGAGAAAGCCTTCCCGTAGCTGGCATCCTGACTTTGGACTTCCAGCCTCCTGAGCCGTGAGACTGCATCTGCTTGTGAATGCCCTGCGGCAGCACTGGAGAACCACCCCGTGGCGGTAACCTCGGTGAGGTACAAAGGACGAGGGCAGAGCATGGGTGGAAACTGCACAGGAGGGTGGTGTTCTGGCCCCACCACGTAGTGTTGAGACCCTGAAGACACTTCTCTCGTTGCTTTTTAACTCTCTGAGCTGTGACTGTGTAAAGCCTGGCCCACAGTGAGCTCTTAGGAAAAGGCCCACCAACTAAATGCAGGTGAACTGTAGGCAGGTGGGACTTAACAGGGAAAACAGTATACAGATCCCAGTGCCTTGCAATCCTAACCTTCCCTGGGAAAACTGTGAACAATCCAGCTCACTTCAAGTGGGGGTCTGCAGCAGACCTAAGCCACTACTAAAATAACAAAACACACCTACACAATTCTGAATTTTGCATGGACATATTTTCTCTCTGTTTAAATACACAGATGAACGCATACCCGCTGCATCCTGAGCTTTTGTTAGGATTTCTGGAAAGCTCTAGAAGACATTAACCCAAATCCACTGCCATCACGTGGATTGAGTCACAGTGACTCTGTAGGGCAGGGTAGAAGCACCCCTGTGGGTTTCCGAGGCTGTAGCTCTTGACGGAAGTAGAAAGCCCCTCTTCTCGGCAGGGCCTCTGGGGGTTTCGAGCTGTATACCTTTTGGTTCACAGCCCAATATGTGACCACTACACCTCCAGCGCTGAAGAATGTAGGAAACAACAAAGAGAGTCCGTCCTGGCAATCTATGCTGTTTCTGCCCGCATTCAACCCTCTCCTGACTTGGCACCTATTACCACACCTACCCTAGGGACGGATGACTGCAAAGATGAGAGACTTCTAAACGACAAGAGTGAGAAACCGTCAAATTAAAAACAACAACAAGAGCACAAATAAATAAAAACAACAACAACAACTGAAAACTGGCTCTCTTACCCATGAAAAAGGAGCCCAGGCGGCATCTTGGGAGAAAGATGGGCCTTTTCTCTCCCACAAGAGTTACAGTCTCATAAACGCAGAGGCAAATCTGCGCTGTCCCACAGGGTCACTGTGAGTCGGCGCTGACGGGATGGCAGTGGGTTTGGTCTGGGTTTCTACTACTCAGGTGCTTTTTCAGGCGGGACACGCTGACCAGTTAGCCGGGAGCCATGGAGTGTGCTCTGACTCACGCTGTGACCTCATTCAGTCAGAGCAGAGCTGAGCTCACAGGGTTTCCAATGGCTGAATTTTCAGAAACCAGGTCGCCGGGGCTTTCTTACAAGGTACTTCTGGCAGAGCTAAAACCCAGTGCAAACCATTTGCACCACCCAGGGGCTCCAAGGACATGCTGAGCACCTTGTGCTTATCAGAGCAAAGAGGTGTGCAGACCTGGTTGACAACTCCAGTCTCTCTGCAAGAGAAGCCACACCCATCATGCCCCTGACCATGCCAGGCATCTGATGTCATTGGAAGTCCCTGGGCAAGAAAGCCCACAAGCCCAGCAGGACAGTCCATGACAGACCCCTGCCTACTGCCTACCTGTGCCTTTAGCCAGGAGAACTTGCTGGCGGGCAGCTCCAGGGCCACCTTCAGCAGGTGGTGCTGCAGAAGGGGCGGGACCTCGTCACGGAGGCCCTGCTCTGAGATGACACCTACAGTGCAAAAGCAGAAACACAGGCAGTTACAGGAGGTAGTGCCCCCAGCACGGCTGCCGCTGGCAGAATAGGCACAGAGCTCCACGTCTGAGGTCAGGTGCCCTCTGGGGCTCATGCCCCCCATCCTGTCGCTTACCTGTGGCCCACCCACATGCCTAGGTGTGGCTCGCCTGACAACATCTCCTTTTCCCCAAACCAAACCCATTCTGTCTCCTAGTAACCCCACGGGTGCAGGGTAGATTTGCTCCAGTTTACAAAAGCTGTCCTTAGGTCACTAGGCCTTTCTTCCTCTGTCCCTTTGGGTGGATTCAAGCAATCGACCTGTTGGTCAGTAGACCAGGGCTTGATCACAGGCGCCTCCCAAAGATTCCCTCCCAAGGTTTACCCAAGCCCCTGAAAAGAGCCCAAATCCACGTGCCCTCTAGCTACACGAACCTCTTCCCACAGCTCACCCCGCCCACGCTACCTCACGCTGTACCCCAAACGCAGCCATTCGGTAACACTGCGCCCCCCCCCCCTGCCGTGCCTACTCCCGAGCCTGTGGCACCTGTGGGTAGGGACCGAGGCGCCAGCATGCATCCTCACCCTGTGGTCTGGCCTCTAGATTCCTCCAATGGTTGAGGAGGACCAGGCGGCCAAGGACCAAGTGGCCACGGCCTAGCAAACGTCATATTCTCATGGCAAAGAGGACCCTTTACTTTCAAACAAGTAAACTATTAATTACGGCCTTGGGGAAGGATCATTTCAAGAGCGTGTGTAAATTCCAAGAATGGCAATCTCCCAAGGGTGCTTCTGTAGGCCCAACTACAAAGCCCTTTTTATTGGACAACCTGCACCATCAAGGGAGCAGAGCCAGAGAAGTTCACTGTGGCTCGGACAAGTAGTCTGAACGCAACTCGCTGGGGTAACACAGGAGGCACTCTGCCTGAGTCTATTCCAGCTCACAGTGCTCCGACAGGGCAGGGAACATGGCCCCTGGGGGATTCCAGGACCGTAACTCTCTAAGAGTAGCGAGCCTCGTCTTTCTTCCACAGGGTGGCTGGTAGTTTCACACTGCTGACCTTGGGGTTAGCAGCCCGCTGCGTATACTGCACCGCCAGAGCCAGGTTAAAAATGGCTCTGTGTGAAAAGGCCGCAACTTCTAAGGGCCTCTGTTCCCATTCCAGCCCTACACCCTGCGCCCTTCGGAAAAGGCTGTGGATTGTCCGCAGCGGGACTTGACTCAGGCCAGGCAGCCTGGCTCTGCCCCTCCAATCTCGCTGCTGCAAAGTGCTCCCCCAACGTTACTGAAGGAGGATTCTGACTCACGGAATCCCATGCGTGTCAGATAGAATTGCCCCAGGGTTTGCAAGGCTCTGACCTTTCAGAAGATCACCTGTCTTCCAAAGTGTCTCTGGGTGGGCTCGAACCACCAACCTTTGGACTAGTAATCAAGCCCTTAGCCATTCATGCAGCCAGGGGATTCTCTAGGAGTAGAGAATTTTTTTTTTTTAAAAGACTGGCCCAGATTAAAAGAACCAGGCTGGAGGGACCAGGGATGCCAACACAACTGCCTGCCAGCCTGCGGGCCCTTGGCTTCCTGCAGCCTCACCGGCAGACAGGACAGAGCAGGGCCTGCCATCCGGACACCCACCTTTCAGAAGCTTGCTGAAGTCAAAGTTGTACTGCATGACCACGTGGGGGACCACCTTCTGGTACAAGCATATGGCCTGGAGCAGGACGGCTTTCAAGAGAAGGGTTTCTGCATCATCTGGGACCAAGCAAACCAGCTGTCATTACGAAGAATGCTTCAAGGGTTCGGCGGGTGGGGGTGGAGGTGTGTGTGTGTGGGGGGGATGCCACGGGGAGGGAGGGGGAAAGAAAATATTTTGACAATGATGATGGCGACAAATGTGCTTGACACAATGGATATGCATACGGATTGTGATAAGAGTTGTACGAGCCCGCAATAAAATGATTTTTTTAAAAGAAAAAAAAAGAAGTATGCCTCTTTTCTCTCCTTGGTTAGCCATCAAGAACTCTGTGAGACCACAGGGCAGTCAGGTGCCCATGGAAAGGGGCCCAATCCCGACTCCTGGCTGGGTCACTAACCAACTGCTGACTGAGCCCCAGGGAGACCAAGGAGTCCGTGCGGTAAATACATAAATACATCAAATTTGAAATGTATGTCTAACCGGCCAGGTCAAATGCCCGCCTCAGGGCGGTGACCATGGACCGGCCTCTGAGTTCAACGGCTGTCACAGGAGGAGGAGATGTGACATTCGTCAGGCAGGAAGCCCACAGTCTGGCCGGGGGCGGGTCTGTCCAGTGAGCACGCGCTGTAGCAGGAAAGGGACTACTGCCCACCTCCACGTGCTGGCTGAGAGACACTGCGTGCGCACATGTCCAACACAAACTAGAACTCGACCTCCTGATTCCCAGCCAGTTCCTCTCCCCAGGCCCAAAAGGGCACCAGGGACCTCCACAGTCAGAGGCCTTCCACCCAGAACTGCTATAAAGCGTGTGCACACGGGCACACGCGCGCGCACACACACACACACACACACACACACACACACACACAGTCCTCACCGCTCTGTGGAACCGCATCGGTAGTGGGAGTCACGTCACCCTTCCTCTTTACATTCTCGTCATCCTGCTTGGCCTCTGGTTTTTTAAGAGTCTGCCACACCCACACGATAGTATTCAGGTCTGGTAACATCTAAAGGGGAAAGCAAAGACACCAACTGGTTAGTCTGGGTGCTTTAGAGAAACAAATCCACAGACTCATGTATATGAGAGTTTTATATAAAGGTTAAGTGCGCATCACGAAAACATCCCAGTGCTGCCCAAGCCCACAAGTCCAACATTAACCCATGAACCCATATGTCCAACACCAATCCACAAAGTCCTCCTCCATCTCGCAAAACATGAGGAAAGTCGAATCAGTGAACATGTAAACATCTCAGCGCTGGCAGGGGTCTCCACACGGCTGCTCCAGCACCCAGGGCTGCATCGGGGTAGGTCTATGCGGCTTCTCCTTGGGGAGGTCTTGCAGGAAGTCAGCCTTGCAAGCTGAAGCTGGGAACTGCTAAGGCAGCTGCACCCTGGTGCGACCATCACAAAGCACGAGACCCTAGAACTAGAAAGGCGAGGCTCGCCGAGCCATTTATCCCTCTGCCCTTCAATTAACCCCACATGTGTTTATCGGCCAGGTTGGCACAATAAACTAACTCACAAACCAACAAACAAGGTGCAGTCCCACCCACGAGGAAGAGAACGGACGCAGGCTAACGTCAGGCAAAGGCGACGAGTGAGGCCCAAGTACACATGGTGAGAGAAAGGGGGTGTGGGTGAGAAAGAGCCGGTGAGACCGAATGTGAGTGGGTGGGAGTCCGTGTGCCACAGTCTGTCCGAGGGAGGGCGGGAGGGGTGCATGGGTGTGTCTGAGAGTGGGGGGAGAGAACACAGGCCGAGGGGCTCGCAAGCCCCAGTGCCAGTAGGTGCTTTTGTGAAGTCCTAGAATACACACCACAAGGAGCTGGTAGAAGATCAAACACTGGAATATAAAAAGCACCTCTTAGGACCTGCTGATGCCCATTTCCACAGGAGAGCGGCCTCCCGCCCCCAGCCCCAGGAAAGCCTGTGTGCAGGGCATGGAGGCTGGGAGGAGGGACGCGCCACCAGCTCCTGGGAGAAGACGACATGAGAACCACACGACCCGTTTCTACGGCAAGAGGGGCCGTCTTCCGCGTGTTCATTCCATCAGAGGTCTTCGGGGCCTGCTCTAAGGGCGGCACCGCGGTCTGTCATCGGAAGTGGTCCACATATATCAGACCACAGCTGTTCCCACCCTGTGGCTTCAGCTCGATCTCACGTAGCACCCACCCTCCGAGCTCCCAGGATCGCCGGCCTTTTCACGCCGGCGTCCTCGGGTGTGAGATCAGAGGAGCCATCCGGCTTCCAGACCTACCTTGCTCAGGGCTTCCCGGAAGAGCTGCACGAATTCCTCCATCATCGCAGGTGAGTACACGCCTGGCTCTTGCCACACCTCTCGATCCAGGCAGTGGTCAATCGTCTTCGATGCTCGCTTCAAAATGCCGGAAACGAGGGACAGAGCTGTGTGTTTCACCGACGTGCTGTCCAGCTGCAGAGACAAGAGAGCCAAATCCACAAACGTCTCCGGGGAGACAGCAGATCCATGCCCGCCCAGCGTGGGACTGGCCGCAGCCCTTTCTGCGACAGCAAGTCACAGAAGACCACTGACCTCTACCCTCGGGTGAGAAGAGGCCCCTGGGGACCTGTCCTCTGACACCCGCCGGGCCTGACTCTATAGTCACTGCTGAGAACACGGCCCTCGGTGTTGCCTCGAGGCTCTGGGCTCTCTAGGTCTGTGCTGAGCAGGCCTCTCTGAGAAGGGTCTGCGCCGACAGCCCCAGAGCCTAACCAGCCGCTTCTGAAAGCACGTGACTTCCAGGGGGTGCGATGACCACAAAATGCAACGGGGGCTCCAGGATGGACGTCACTCCAGGCTCCACAGACACACGGCCCAGTGCCGAGGCCGTGGACACCCGAGTTTCCCTCCTTCCAATGACACTCAGAATGACAATCGGGAAGGCCTTCCCAGCTCACTCTCACTGCGGAGACCAAGAAAGGTTTCAGACCTGCGCTGGGTCCAAGAGGAGCAAGCCATGGCCCTTGGTCCTCACTGTGTGGTCTGAGGGTCTGCAGTGTGGGCACCGCCTGGAGCCTGCTGGGAATGCAGAGTCCCGGGCCTTGCCCGGACCTGCTGAAGCAGAACCTGCCTTCTGACACGGTCTCGCTCAAGTTGGAGGGGCACCAGTGAGGGGAGTTAACTTCACTAAAGGCGTACTGGTCTACTTTCACCCAGCACCTCAGTCCTCCATCCCAGCACTCCAGGTAGTGCCATGTGCTTACAAGGGGGGCTTCAACAAGTTCATGGGTAAAGAAACAACCCTATGACCTTTCACTCCAGTCTTTGAACTTTTGGAAGGCCCTTGGTTATTGCAAACCACAGGGGTGCTTCCTTAAATACTCTACAGCAGTAATGGCTCTGACCTCCTGACTTCAGAGGCAGCGCCCCAACCAAGTATTCACGCATCCACTCAAAGGGCTGGGAACAGAAAGCTCACCCAGCAGCCTGGGACCCTGCCTCTAAACCCAACTTTCCATTTCTAAAGTAACGGCAGCTCTTTCCTTTCTGATTTAAAAACGTGTGCTGCTAAATTTTCTTCTTACACAAGACTGTAATCACATAAAAGAAAACTATTATTTAAATTTTTTTCCAGCCATAAGTCTTGATGCTGAACTTCCTGAACCAGCTGGAGGAGCGGCCTGCATGGCCGTCTCTGCCCCGGGTTTTCCCTGAGAACACCTGCCCTGGAGGGCGGCACACCTCTCCCAGGGCACAATCCTGCTAGGGTGGGGACGGGAGAAGCAAGGTGAGGCTTTCGGGGATGAAATGGCCCCTGGTCTTCGGAGCGGCTGCATGTGACACATGGACTCAAGTTCTGTCTCCTCACAAGCCCCGAAGGATAAAATGCCAGCGCCTCCGATCAAACACTGGGGCGGGCTCGCTGGGTCTGACTTTTGCCCATGAGGACCTGGCGAGCCAAACAAAAAGACGTGTCTGCTGAGCAACATATGGGCTTTCTTCTCCCAACCCCTCAGCCCACTGGTAGAGGTCATCAGAAGGTCTTCAGTCCAACTGCTGGGCTCCCGTGTCTTTACTCCGCACAGTCAGAGCCACCCCAGCACCAGCGGGCTGGCCAGCCCCGTCCCACCAGCAAGGGTAGGGGACATGAGGACAGAGGCTCCACCTGGCCCACTAAAGTCACTCTGAACACCTGGCCTCCCTCAGGCACGTCATGCGACAACCTGGGTTTGGGGGCATGAACCAGAAGGGTCCCAGGACCCAGGTGTGCCAACAATTTCTAGCCAGCCACTCACGTGAGCCCACGACGCTGCGGTGAAAGACGCGAGTGCCCTCAGACTGTCGACTCTAGTGATTACACGAAACGCAAACAGCAATTTTTTCCTCCCGTGAAAGCAACCTGCAATGATGGCTGGAGGCAGCTGGTCCTCAGAGGAGACAACCCTCAGAAGCCACCCCTCGCCACTCACTGAAACCCCAGGAAAGGCCTGGCCAGGCCACTCTCAGTGCCACCTCATCCAGAAATGCTACCCAGGAGACTTGAATCAGGGGCACTGGCCTTTAACCAGACCTGAGGTCTCTCCTCCCACCCTAGGGCAGGCCCAAGTCCCGGTGGTGCAGGTGCTGGTTAGAGGGCTTAGCTACTAACTGAAAGGCTGGTGGTTCCAGCCCACCCTGGGGCTCCTCAGGAGAAAGGCCCATTGACAAGAAATGAACCCCCAGGCTGGTAGTCCCAAATCCATGCCCACACACTGCCCGTGGGGAAAGTTCTGGAAGCAGCGTACATTTAACGCCTGGGTGAACATGGTCTTGTTGCAGACCGGAGGCACGGTGGTCACCATCACCATCTGGAGGAGCCGAGGCAAGGGGACAAACTCCCTGGTCTGAAACGCCCGGGAAATCTCCGGCTGGGCCTCGTAGATCTACGGAAATAAGAAAAGAGAATTACTTGGCGCCAGGGGTAGGCGTCAAACCTGGAGTGGATTTCAGGCACCTGGCAGAGAAGTCAGTGAAACCGTTAGGGATCAACGCCCAGGGAATTCCCAGGAAGAGGATCCAGAAGGGTAAACACAAAACCCACTTGTTAAAGACAAGCCAGGGCACAGGACCGGCACCCAGCACAGCAGACCCGGGCCCGGGGTACAGGGAGCCGCGTCAAACCGGGAATGGCAAATAAATTCAAAGTGGCGTCCATGTCCCAGGAACTGCACTCGGGAGGCCCCTGCCAAAGGAGGTCATCTCTGTGAAGCTTCATAAACAACCCTCTGGGGCAGGGATCCTTTCCGTTCAAAAACTTAAAATGCTTGTTTGTAGGGGACAAAGCTGTACCTCGATGAGGGTGCTGGAGTCCCCTGGGGCCACACAGCTGGTAACCAATGGAAGGCTCCACGTCAGGCCTGGGAAGCTCAGGCGCTCGGCCTCAGCCATCGGCCTCAGCGGATCTTCAGCAAAGTGAGGTTTGACAGAGGGCATCCTTCTGACCCCAAAACACATGTGGGGAGCGCACAAGACAGGCCCTTCAGAACCAGTGAGTGGATACAGGGATAGGGGCTTGTTTTACACGTCACCCCGGCTCGGGTATAAAAAGAAACCCCAGGTACTTCCCACGGCCACCCTGTAGGACAGGGTGTAGAAGTCCCCCACGGGGCTTCCACTGCGGTCACTATCACATTGCTCTCCAGGCGTGTGCTGACCCACCACCCCAGGGCTCCTCGCTTCCCCGGAGGCTTCCATAATCTGAGCAGAGAGAGCTAACGGAGCTGAGCATCACTGCTGAGTGATTTCCAGTAAGGAGGGCGGCCGCGGTTCGGGCAGTGTCTTGTTCAGGCACATAGGCTCTAACAACAGCATTCCCGTTGGATCAGAGGGAAGAGAATGCAGACCCACCTACCCCACCCATTCGGACTGGTGTTCAGAGTAATATTTTGGTTTGTGCCAATTACTAGACACCGCAATCTTGAAAACACCCCTTACAACTAAGGCAGCTCAGGACAATTCTCCCACAAGCGCTGAGACTGTACTCTCAGCAAACTGTCTCAATGACTGAGATGAAATCGCCTCAGCGGATTCAATAGCCACAGCCTCCACCTTCCCCGCAGCGAAAAGCAAAATGTCATCCTCAGGGGGATAGGACCCCAAATTGATCCAAGGGAGTCCTTCGAAAGACCACCGGGAGACATTCTCAATCGTTTGAACATATCAAAACACCACTTCCTCTGCCCTCATCCGCTGCTCTGTGCTCTATCTCGCGGATTAAAAATCCCTGGGGTTTCCTACCTTGTTGAGCAGTCTGATGTTATTCGACCAAGCTGACTTCACCCTCGGGAGGAAGGAAAATGTGGTCTCCTTGAAATACTTGTTGAGTAAGTCGGGACACACTTTCAGGATGTTCACCACCAGCTCGGCCACCAGCTCGTCTTCCGCCGCAGTTTTCAGACCCAACAAGAAGTGCAGGAGGGTCAGGTTCCCTCCTCTGTTGGGAGGGAGAGAATGGGCACCTGGCATCATTCTGAAACACGCATACCCTGAGGTGCACCAGAGGGAGGTACGTTACCTTCCCAAGGAGCCAAGGGAGGGTCAGGTTACTCTAAGAGCTCAAAATGATCCGACCTGCAGCTCCGCTGGTCACCCTCAGAAAGCCCAGCCACAACAGGGCAATGGGGCGACTCAGTTCTGGCGGCCTCTCCACCTGTTTGCAGAGGCCCACGGCTGCTTTAATGCTATAGCAGCCCGGCTAAGTCACTATGGAGGCCAAACAGCCCACAGAGCCTCATGAAATGCTTACTGTCTGCCCCACTCACCGTAAACGCTGCCCAATCTCTGCTCTATACTACAAGGAACGCTGGGGCGCTGCCATTGTGGTGTGGCTCCCAGCCCGACAGGCGTCCGAGTCCATAGGTGGCAGGGTTTTCAGAAAGAGGACAGCTCTGGAAAGCCCGTGCAGCACCCCTGTCCTGTCTGGACACTACGAGTCAGAATCAAGTCAACAAGCTTGGTTTGGGGCTCTGTTCTCTAGAGCAGCGGGTCAACCTGTGGGTCACAACCCCGTTAGGGGTCAAATGACCCTTTCACAGGGGTCACCTAAGACCATCAGAAAACACATAAATGTTTCACAATATATAATTACATATTGTTTTGTGATTAATCACTATGCTTTAATTATATTTAATTATGTTCAATTTGTAACAATGAAAATACATCCTATATATCAGATAGTTACATTATGATTCATAACAGTAGCAAAATGACAGTTATGAAGTAGCAATGAAAATAACTTTTTGGTTGGGGGGGCCACCACAACATGAGGAACTGTATTAAAGGGTCGTGGCATTAGGAAGGTTGAGAACCATTGTTATGTATAATTCCCTGTTTTCATCAGGCGCCTACTGTGTGCCAGGCACTCTCATAGGCCCCGAAACCACAGCAGTGCACAAAGCAGACTGGGGCACAGGAGGGAGTGATCAGACAATGAATAAATACGTAAGATAGTGGTGAGCTACAGCAGGAAGCCAAGGCAGGGGAAAGAGTGACACTGGAGAGGTTCTTCTGGAAAGGCGTGCCCTGCTCCACTGGAAGCGCCAAGGACACACAGAGAGAGGAGCTTCAAAGTCATGCGAACCGTCCCTTGTTCCAAATGGACCCCCCACCAGACTCGGTACACTCACTCCCTCTCCACCTGTCCTCTATCGGCACCTCCGCCAGGACACTCGGGGCAACGGCCCAGACCCACAGTGGGAAGGACTGTTATGTTACCTCCCAAAGGTCCCAAGAGAGGCGTCATAGAAGTTGATTCCGTGCTTGAGCGAACAGCAGAGATCCATCAGGAAGTTATGAACCAGCTCCCTCACCATGGCTTTCCCCGCCTCTTCAGCAGAAGCCTGCAAGGGTGTTGAAAAAATTCCATGAAAGTCCCAAACCCATCAGAAACCTTACTAAGCGCCACAGGGATCAAACTGGCAGTAGCACACACCCACTGACGGCGAGGACATTTAATCTGTGTCATTCTGTAGTACAACAAAAACAAAACACCTAGGGAAGACAGACAGACAGACAGATGTAATGAAGTACCCTCAAGGAGCCCTGTGTGGGGCCAGCTGCGAATACACTCTGTGTAGGGGGCAAGTGTAAATCTGTATTTTCCCCATAGGCTTAATGATGACTTAACTTCTCTTACTCTTTCTCACAAAACTGGGGGGAGTGGGGGCCATTTACTAGGTCCGGAGGCTTGCTGGTATTCAAAACGAGAGTTAAAACCAGGGCAAGACAAAAGCTAAGCAACAAGCCCTTGGGAGGAGAACTAACGTAATGCTCGCAGGAAGCCTGAGCCTGCACCACCCCAGGAAGACCCCGCTGTCCGTGGCCAAGGGTCACCAGGAGAGAGCCAATGCTCCATCCACCTCAGCCCAGCAATGACGACTGAATCAGCCTGCGCCGCACGAGCTGAGGACGCGAGAGGCTACCTGTGCATGTAGGGGTCTGACACCAACGAGACAGCCCTTGAGTGTCCCAAGGACACAGACTGGAAGGGGGAGGAAATAAAAACCAGCTTTGGCCTCATGGGGACCCCATGTTCCAGCGTAGAACGAAGGGCGTAGGGGCTTCTTGGCTGTAACTTTTCCAGAAGGAAGGGAGGTGGGAAGGAAAGAGCAAGGGAGAGTGCAGGAACTCCGGAACCCACCGAGCAAGTACTGCAGGGAAAGCAGGAAGCCACTCAGCCCCGGGGAGCGGACTGTCTCATTTAGGACAAAGGAGTTTCCATGATCATAGGCACGACATTTGAAAATTGTATTGCTTCCAGTAAGGGTGACGACCACAGGCCAAGGGGAAGAGACCCAGCGGCAGGGTGTTTTAAGCTGGTACTGTGTGACATGATCTGTCCCGCTGGCAATGGTGCCCCTGACAAAGTCAGGTGGAAACAGGGACCACACGCACCTCGTGGCCGGCCGTGTCCACGTCCGCGATGTCCACGTCCACGATGCCCCTCCACGAGTAAAGCGACGCTATTTGGTTCAACAACTGCCCGGTGAAGAAACGCACCTTCTGTGTCTTTGTGACGTTTTTGTTGTGAACGACCTGCAAACAAAGTAACAAAGCAGGCTCAGGACTTGGAGTTCACGTGCTTCTCCCCGACAGAAAAGCGATGCTTGCGAATATCAGCGAACTTGGCCAGGAAAACAGAAAACGGAAGGAGAAGAACAGCACTCGATGTTCCCTTCATCCTACCCGGGGAAACCACACACTTTCCCTGCTTGAATGTTTACAGAGCTATTGTTCTGAAGTCAGTAAGCCTCTTAGAGCACGTTTTCACAGCTCCATCAAATGCTGACGCAAGGCAGGCCACGCAACAGGACACAAAGCAACGCTTTGAGTGGATACAAGACATATTCTTTGTAACGGAGAGCGCTCAGTTGGGCTTTCTGTGGTATGCTGGACAGCGGCCAGTCTCTTGATGTTAACCCAGCAGCCTTGCCTGACCATAAGCGGCCATTCTAGTGATGCTAAACCTTCCCGTCTCCATTTCTGCTTAAGAAAGTCTCTCACCGAATCGATGTGAAGGGGCGTGGATGCAGTGGACACCTAAACCCACCTGTGAGACAGGACAGTCCCTCTCACAAGGGCCACACAGAAGGGATGATACATCCAGGGTGCAATAGAGCACTGAGGAAACACGTAACTATCTTCTGGCTCTTTATCATTTCCCCCCCTCAGTGTTAAGACTTATTTTTTACCTCATTAATATTGTTAAACCTACAGAGATTCGTTTGTGTAATTACGATTGTTCAATGCAGGAAAGCCAGGATGGATGACCCTTCAGAAACAGCCACAGGAGTAATGATTTCCTGAGGATACGGGAATGGGAGGGAAGGGGGAGCTGATAGCAACAGTGACTGTGGAACCCCACTAGAGGGGAGCAAATAACAGAATTGTAGGAGAATGGAACAAATATATATGTATATGTATTTGGCCGTATCTTACCCCATCCAATATATGTATGTATGTGCGTATATGTATATAAAAGGCAATAATATCTAACAATAAGGGTTCCTGGGGGAAAGGGTGGGGAGGAAGGGGATAAAGGGAAGCTGGTATCACAGAGTTCAGGAAGAAAGAAATGCTTTGAGACTGATTGTAGTAGCAATTGTACAATTATGCTTTATCCGTTTGAATTATGGAATGTTATGACATATGTGAAGAGCTCCCAATAAAATTATTAAAAAATAAAGTGACTTAAAATTCTGATAAAAAGAATGGACTGGTCTATTTCAAAAGTTAAACTTAAACAATCTCTAACGATTGTAATACCAAAAAGCCAAGAGCATGCTTTTTCCCAGGGGGCTTCAAAAACATATTTGATAGAACATCATGATGTGTGTTTCTTCATAAATAAGTGAAAAATAGAAATGTGAAAATTATTTTCCTAAAGCCACAGTATGATTGTGTTAGAGACTGATTTAATGAGTGGTTTGGTTTTTTTTATTGTTAAAAGATCATTTTACTGGGGGCTCTTACAACTCTTATTACAATCCATACATCAATTGCATCAGGCATATTTGTACATATGTTGTCATCATTTTTTTCTAGACATTTACTTTCTATTGAGCCCTTGGTATCAGGTCCTCTTTTTTCCCTCCCACCCCCCACCCTTGTCACCCCTTGATAGATTATAAATTATTCTAATTTTCATATCTCACACTGCCCACTATTGCCCTTCCCCCAAGGATTCTATTGTTTTTCCCCCTGGAGGGGGAGTGTGGTTATGTATCGATCATGTGATCAGTTCCCTTCCTCCCCTTCCCTCCCCCTCTTCCCCCTACCCTTCTGGTATTGCTATCCCCACTCCTGTTCCTGGATTCCACGTGTCGTGAGCCCCCATCTCTTACCTATACCTGTGTACATGCTCCGGTCTAGTCTGAATTAAGCAGCTGCACCGGGGTCATGGTAGTGCGGGGTGAGGAAGTCTCAAGGAACCAGAGGACTATTGTGTGTTTCATCAGTGCTTTACCGCACCCTGGTTGACTCACCCTTCCCCGTGACTGTGAATGTTTTCTGTATACATTAGAGGCTTGAAAATGCATATTACTACTGAGCTAGAGAGAGAAAACATTACTTCTTTTGAATAAAACTTCTCACATTGCAAAATAGTTTTATATATATAAAAAAAGAAGGTCTCGGGTCAGCCTGAAAGACTGCAAACCAATGTGACAGATGGAGAGAACGTGTAATGGGAGAAATCCCAGTTCCAGAACCCTGGGAGACGCGGATGAGGAGCCTGCTATCCTCGAGGAGGAAAGCAAAGAGGGCGGGTGGCGATCACCCCACAAGTACCTTTGTTTTCAGGGTGGATAACAAGAGACTGATGGTGGAGATCCTGTCTTCCTTTATGCCGGAGCCAAAAATGCAGGGGATGAATTCTGAAAGCAAGCGTCTCACAGTTAAACTCAGGAGAGTAACAGAAGGCTGCTGCTGTCTAGAGGGCACACCACTTCGGGGCCGCACGTCTCTTACAGCACAAAGTCAGTAGCTGCTGATGCAAAAACACAGGTGAGCCTTTCTTAAAAGTTCAACAGTCTCTTGAGTTCTATTTTATCTTCCATTTCCTTACGTTAAAGCAAAATTAATTCAACACTGATGAAGAGCGTTACGGAACGATTCCACTGTTCTGAAACTTCTCTCCGCGGAACTTGTTGAAAACCCCATACACACCAGCTGTTCTGGGGTCGACGCTGATTCGCGAGGACCACGTGCCGCAGTGGGACTGTGAGAACCACAGGGTGTCCAATGGCTAATTTCGGGAAGTGGATAGCCAGGCCTCTCTTCTGAGGCACCTCTGGGTGGACTTAAATTGCCAACTTTTCATCAGCAGCTAAGAGAGTGGACATTTGCATCACCCAGGACCCCAACACTTGCTGGAAAGTATGTCTGAACCAATGCCCTTCACATACTAATTTGTGGTGCAATTTTAATTATTTAGCCTATAAGAAAAAGTGTCATCTAACCAAATCTCTATTCCCATCCTGAGTTATTTACTTAGAGGTAGTAGCAGCTAGGGCAAGCATTTTAAACGTTTTAATGTCTCTCGCTAGACTGTCTTCCAGAAAGGCTTCTAAAATGTATCTTCATCCCATTAGAGGTGCTAACGAGAGTCCACCTCAATCACTGCCCTTAATCAAAAGGCCACGTGACCACAGGGGACTTGTAGAAGACTGTCAACCTCCGGACAGAGAGCAGCAAGCATCCCCCGCAGGACTCAGCAGAAAGCAGGTGTGAAAATCTGCCCCCTGCACCTGGAGATGAAGTGTCACTTCCCTTCCCACAGCAGCAACAGCAGGGCTGCCGACCTCCACACCTTCTTGAGGGAGCTCAGGGATGCCTGGGCCCCCGGTTTGCTAGGTCCCATGCTTTCCCTCACTCGGCAGCTGAGTTTCAGCCAGGACACCCCTGCCCCTGAGGCTTGGCATGACCTGGTGACACTGGCTCTGACTGAGCACCCGAATAAGTCACGCCCACCCTTGGTGCCATGCCTTCTATTATCTTCCTGGGCGGAGTCTCTTCATAAACTGCCAGGGGTCCTAAGAGGATCAGTGACCCTCACTCACTCTTGGGGACAGCTACTGGCAGGGAGTCCCATGAAGCCCTGGGTCTGCTATTCTGCAGCAGAGCCCCCCACCACACACTAACCAGGCTCCAATCTCTAAGATCTGAGGGGTCACAAGGGCAAACCCACTGGGCAAGGTGACAAGTGTCTTCCGGAACCTGCAGAAAATGGTGGACATTCGGATTTTTACAAGAATCTTGAGCAGGGTGTCCTAAGGGACAACGGAGGCCACTTACCTTTCAACTCAAGCACTTGCACGATGGTGTTGTCATCGCCAGCGATTAAGAAGGAGAGGGCAAACTGGATATAGGCCAGCCGGACGTCGGGCACTCCCTGGAAGGGGAGGAAACTCAGTCACCGCTGACAAGCAAATCCCCAAATAAAACCGCACAGTGGGCAGGCGGGGCCTACTCCCTGTGGGCACCTTCCCAGGGATGTGGGTCTGCACCCACGGTCTTCCTTCGCCCCTCTGCACCCCGACCACCCACCTCACAGGCCTCCACCCGACTGCGCTTCCTGCACTTTCAGGTCCCAGTCTGAAGTCATCCATGTGGGTCAGCAGCAGGTAAGCTCCTCTCAAGATTAACATGCCTGGCTCCCCAGCAAGCTAGAGGCTCAAACCCACCAGCCACTCTGGGGGAGAAAGATGGCTGCTTCCAAACCAGTGGTTCTCAACCTGTGGGTCGCGACCCCACTGGGGATCGCCCGATTCATGACAGTAGCAAAATTACAGTTTTGAAGTTGCAACAAAAATAACTTTATGGTTGGAGGGGTCACCACAACATGAGGAACTGTGTGAAAGGGTTGCAGCATGAGGAAGGTTGAGAACCACTGTTCTAAACAAATCAAATTGTGTACACACACATACACACACACAAACACACTGCCACTGAGAAAAATCCAACTCCTAATGACCCTATAAGGCCAGTAGAGAACTGCAAGAGGCCTGATCTTCCTCCCATGGAGCGGCTGCTGGGTTTGAACTGCTGATCTTAGGTTAGCAGCTCAACCTGTACACAAATATACCGGCAAATGGGTTTTAGATTACAACTTCAGAGACCCTGTGGGGCAGTTGTACTCTGGCCTGTAGGGTAGCCGTGGGTTGGAATCAACGTGACAGCCGTGGGTTTGGCGCCCCACCCTGCCCTGCCCCAGATCTAGCAATGGAATACTAATGTAATAGTTCGGGGAGCCCTTGGCTTTGGAGCAAAAGAGTCTCAACGCCTGCAGATCATCTCTTCCCAGCTGTCCGTGAAACCAGCACACCTGCTTTTCTAATCCAGAAGTGGTGCTACTTTTGGCAGGAGGCGAAGGCAATGCTTGGTCTTTATTAGATGTGAGAAAGAGGCAATCCACTCGTACCAGAAACCACTTGTATCAGACACTTGTATCATGAACGCCAGGCCACACTGCACCACAGGCACGGCCAGGACCAGAAACCAGCACTTCTGAGAAGTCTCTGGGGCTGCCTGGTCCACTTCTCTCCCAGTACCTTTTAGACCAACCGCTTGATTGGCATCTAAGGGCGCCAAGCCATACAGTCCTGCGGGTCTCAGTCAGCTGCACTGGTGCCAGCAAGCTCACTGCCTGGCCGAAACTTGTCCCTCCTTCACAGTTACCCCACTGACAGGCAGCTCCCTTGTCCGGGCATAAGGGCCACCAATCTAGGTCTCCAGGGCAGGATTCGCTAGTCTGTCCATTTGTCTGTTTCTTCCCGCAAAGAGGAGGGCAGCCTGCCCCATGCTCTCTGACATCTAGATTACGGTCTTGCACGTTTACTGTATTTACTGCATTTACTGCAGTAAATTGCAGTAAATATGCAAAATTATTATTTTGTCATATCTTGTCCTGTCCGACATCTCCCTACCTCAGTCCACGAGGAGCCCTGATGGCTTAGTGGTTACAAGGTGGGCTGCTATCTGCAAGGTCAGCAGTTTGAAGCCACCAGCTTCTCTGTGGGAGAAAGACGGGGCTTTCTCCTCCTGCAGAGTTACAGCCTGGGAAACGCACAGGGGCAGGTCTCCCCTGTTCCACAGGGTCGCTCTGAGTCGGCATCAACTCCATAGCAGTGAGTATGGCTTTGGCACCTCGGTCCACAGCACACAGCATCTCAGAGCCCTTAGTAGGCAAACACCGGCTGGCCTTCAATATCGGACCGTCCAACTCCCCTTTCTCTTCAGAGGTCTGCCGGCCTCTTTTTTTTTTTTTTTAATCATTTTATTAGGGGCTCATACAACTCTTATCACAATCCATATATACGTCAATTGTGTCTTATTAGGGGCTCATACAACTCTTATCACAATCCATATATACGTCAATTGTGTAAAGCACATTTGTACATTTATTGCCCTCATCATTCTCAAAACATTTCCTCTCCACTTAAGCCCCTGGCATCAGCTCCTCATTTTTCCCTTCCCTCCCCACTCCCTACTCCCTCATGAACCCTTGATAATTTATAATTATTTTGTCATATCTTGCCCTGTCCGACATCTCCCTTCACCCACTTTTCTGTTGTCCGTCCCCCAGGGAGGAGGTCACATGTAGATCCTTGTAATCGGTTCCCCCTTTCCTACCCACCCTCCCTCTACCCTCCCCGTTTCGCCACTCTCACCACTGGTCCTGAAGGGATCATCCGCCCTGGAGTCCCTGTGTTTCCAGTTCCTATCTGTACCAGTTTACACCCTCTGGTCTAGCCAGACTTGCAAGGTAGAATTGGGATCATGATAGTGGGGGGCGGGGGGTGGGGTATCTACGGGCCTCTTTACAACACACAGCAACAAGGGAAGTCCTGAGGACGAGCTGGATCCCGAGCCTGCAGTACCCTAGTGCCCTCACTCACCGACTCAACGCTTACCAAACCAGCTGCTGAACTCTAGGGCTGAGCGCAGAGGCCAAGATAACTGACGTGATGTTCCCTAGCAGATGCTTCAAGCAACTGCCGCTCTGCGTCACACAGACGCCTCCCTGCTCATGTCTACACATCGTCCGATTCAAGCCCAGCTAACCGGCAATCCTGGTCTGCATATGCCTTGTGTTTCACAATAATGTTAATCAATTAATTCGTATTTTAAGCTAAAACTTGCCAGACGACATTAAATTAGGTCTTAATCTTTTCCCTCCTAGTAGAAAGGTTCCACATAGCTCTTTATCGTTCACAGCAGTAGGCCTGGGAGTCAGGTCCCTGGAATGCTGGTCCAGGCTAGGCTTGTCAGGGGCGGGCAGATGGTATCACCATGCCTCTAGAACTTCCTGTCCTAGCTTAATCACAGCAGTGTTAACAGTTCGGTTGTTAACTCTTGGTATCCACTTTGTGCAAGGGGCCTCAAAAAGTTTGGTGGGAGGGCAGGGATGCCATTATTTTTTAATTCTGTTTTTCCGAAAACAACTTTCTGATATCCCAGGAAACCCCCATATTTCTGAGTTCCTGACATTCTAGATGAGATTCCCCACAATAAAGCATCGCCCACCACTACAGACACACCACCGTCCCAAGCCCCCTCTTCCACCTGGCCACAGACTGCCCTCTGGGTGGGCCTCCCTCCTGACATCAGCACACTCCAGCAAAGGCATCCTCCAGCCCACTGGAAGAGACACAGGCCGGCTCCTCATTCCCACCCTGGGATCTCACGGGGCAGGAAGAAAATGTCCTGGACTCTTTTAAGGCGTGTTCTGCAAAACACTGTCTGAAATAGACCAAAGCATATTTGGTAAAGCTCCCACGCTGGCAGAGCGCTTGTAATAATGCTTTCTTTGGCAAGATGAAGATGCCCATAACCCTCTCTCTCCTTTAACAATCCCCTCCAGAACACCAGAGCACACTCATTCCAAACTATGTATCTGCTGGTAACTGTAATTTTGCCACTGTCATGAATCGGGACACCCCCAATGGGGTCGCGACCCACAGGTTGAGAACCACTGGTTTGGAAGCAGCCATCTTTCTCCCCCAGAGTGGCTGCTGGGTTTGAGCCTCTAGCTTGCTTGGGAGCCAGGCATGTTAATCTTGAGAGGAGCTTACCTGCTGCTGACCCACAAGGACGACTTAAGACTGGGACCTGAAAGTGCAGGAAGAGCAGTCGGGTGGAGGCCTGTGAGGTGGGTGGGTCGGGGTGCAGAGGGGCAAAGGAAAGCTGGTGTCAAAAACAACTAGAAGCTATTTGTCAAAGGGGAGGGAGGAAGACAACAGTCAGAGACATAGCACGAACCCAATGTGCCCTGTGGCCCTGTCCGAATGCTGACTTGAACCACAAGGGCTGAGATGGGTGGGGAACTCCGAGACTGAACTGAGCCGTAGATGAGACTGAGCAATTAATTACTCATGGTGTGACGTATGGAGCCGTAGATGAGACTGAGCAATTAATTACTCATGGTGTGACGTACGAACCCTTAGATGAGACTGAGCAATTAATTATTCATGGTGTGATGTACGATAGGCACTCTAGCGGCTCTGGTTTTTATTCTAAGGCCTTTTTCTGTTAGGGAGACACACTGCAATAACATATGGGGAAATACGATTCCCGGCTGGGGTTTGCTGAATACACTGCCACCCAAGCAAGTGGACGGCTAGGAGGGGTGGCTGGCGTCTGCTAAAGATGGAGGCCAGTACACGGGAGCTGACTGCAGGGGTCTCCTATTCTGAATATCCCTGACACTGCCTACCTTAAAAAATAAATAGATGTCGAGAAACTGTTCCCTACAACACAATAAGCATTTAAGTCACTTGACCTGTAAATTTTCAAACAAAAGAAAGTAAAAAATGTTCAAGACTCTAGACCACGGGGGAAAAATCCAGCCCATGGCCATATAAAGCCCACAAAATCATCCAGGCCAGCGCCTCACCACAGAGCAGCAGTCCCGGCCATCACAGTAGGGGTGAGTTAACTCAATGTGCGACCTGCGCAGCCCTCGAACGATGTTATAAATAGCCAAATAGCCCTTGGCAGAAAAATGGTTCTCCACCCTGGTCTACACAATGACACCCATTTTATATTTATATTTTTTACTTTATAAAAATCATTTTATTGGGGGCTCATACAACTCTTATCACAATCCATACATCCATCTATTGTGTCAAGTACATTTGTACATTTGTTGCCATCATCATTTTCAAAATATTTTCTTTCTACTTGAGCTCTTAACAACAAATCCTCCTTTCCCCCCCTCCCTCTCCCTCCCTCTCCTTTCCCACCCTCCCTTCCTCATGAACCCTTGATAATTTATAAATTATTACTATTTTTTCATGTCTCACACTGACCGATGTCTCCCTTCACCCACTTTTCTGTTGTCCAGCACCCCTGGGAGGGGGTTATATGTAGATCATTGTGATCAGTTCCCCCTATCTCTCCCCACCTTCCCCTTCCCCTCCTGGCACCCATTTTACAGGGCCATGGTAGCATAGTGTTTACGAGTTGGGCTCCTAACTACAAGGTCAGCAGCTCGAAAACAACACTGGCACTGAGAAAGAGGAGGCTTTCTATCCCTGTAAAGAGGTACAGTCTCAGAAAGCCACAGGAGCAGTTCTGCTCTGCCCTATAGGGTCACTATGTGTCAGAATTGGCCGTGAGTTTTCTCTGGAGAGAAGTAATGTAACTTGCCCTGGGAGGAGGCAGCTGGAGTGCTGCCTTGGGGTAGGGGCTCCAGAAGGGCAGCCCTCTTTGGGGTTCTTTTTATTAAAACTTTAAAAGTCAGGAGCCAAGACTCACTGAATGGGACTGCTGATACGTTCATCAAGCAGGGTTTCCATGAGGTATTAAGGGCCAGACTTCTTTTTCTTTGGAGAGTAACTACCTTGTAATTCCAACACTGACTACAGAACCAGCCTCACAGAGCCATAAAAGTGGCCAGGTGTTATGACCATTAACAAACACAGTGGCTGCTCCGACGGGAGCTCAGACGTGGGAAGGCCTGTGAGGGTGACACAAGACCAGGCAGGGCTCCATGCTGCTGTACAGAGGGTGACCACAAGGCATGGTGAGGCTGAGCACCCCAGAGAACCAGTCCAGGGTCCCCACTGCTTGGGCTCTGCCACATGTGGCCTTCCACTCCCACAAACTCCAGTGGCTGCCACAGCACATCCTTCTCCACAAAGATGCCCGGCCCCTTCCTATACCCATCCCAGTGCCAAGGGCAGACGGAGAGAAAAACCAGCCCTGCCATGCCCCACAGGGAAGGAAAACACTCAGGAGGTCCCAAGACCCTCACAGCTCCTCACCTTTGAATCCCGTTTGGTCACCAGGGTGTACAGGGGCTTTTTATTCAAATCAAAGTTGCTGCAGACGTCCCTGGCAGCTTCGGTCCCCTGGGCCACCAGGGCTGCCATCAGATTCAGGCAGGCTCGAGCTAGCCTGCACGGGACCAACAAGCAAAGGAGTCACGTCAGAAACCGCAGAAGCACAAAGCCACCTGGCCATGCAGCCCCTGCATGCCTGCTTCTACGCTTTGTGATCCCCCAGCCAGAGAAAGGAGGGGACGAGACATGCTTCTGAAAACAGAACAAAAGCGAACAAAAATCCATAATCCTCCTGAGGCTGAGGAGGATGGCGAGCATAAAACCCAACATGCGTGGAAGGTGGGGCTTGATCGCTGAGTACATGGTCACACAACTAACTCAAAGACCATGCTGTGCTTGTGGGACCAGAGAAAGACCTCGTCACAGAAGCTTCGCCAGGGTAAGCTCTCGTGCCTTTCTATGCTGTGGTAACCCAGAACCCATGGCTTTCTGAGGACCTGCTACTACCAGAGGCCCTGCTCTAGGCACCGGGCAGACAGCAGGGCCCAGCTTTACACGGCAGTGAAATACCTTACCATCTAGTGGAGGAGACGGTAAAAGAACAGCTGTTGCTTGTGTTCCAGGAGCTGCCAATGGAGTGATCCCAGCTCACGGTGCCTTATGCACACATGGGATACTCCAGTGCCGAGCCTATGCCACCCCCAAGGCTGGGTGCAGACCGGGCAATTTTCATCGTGATCTATAGGAAGCTGTCAGACTCTTCTTCCTATTCTGTCTAAGTCTAGACGCTCCACTGAAACCTATTCTGCATCACAGCAACACACAAGCCTCCTCTGACCGATGGGGGGTGGCCAGGCACGAGCTGTACTGACTGGCCAGGAAATGAAATCTGGTCTCCTCACGGAAGGCAAGAATTCCAACACATAATCCTCACTGTTCCCACACATCCATCATCTGAGGGGGCTTCGAAGAGTTCATGGAAAAATTCCACTTAGCTTTTCATTTCATTTTTCCATGAATTTTTGAAGCCCCCTCAGATACGATATACAAATATGAGAGTTTCAAAAAGCTTGTAGAAAAATAACATTAAAAGATAATGGAATTTTTCTGGGAACCCTTGGAAGGCTCCAGGCAGAATTTTATTTTATTTTTTTAAAGCAAAAGGGAAGAAATTTATTGGAGCCCATACGGGAAACCCTAGAGGGGCCCAGCATACCCTACTGTGCAGGCATGCCCAGCAAAGGGTCACCCCATTCCATTCACTGTACCCCCATGTCCCAGAGGGACTCCCCTTGAGCCGAGCCCCAAAGCCCCAGGACTGCGTGGGGGTGGGGGCACAGGCAGAATGTTAAAAGAAAAAACAAAAATAAGCAAGAGAAAGCGGCAGAAAGTGACAGTAGGTGTGCTATCCGCTGAAGGTGGGCTGAAAGAGGCGACATTTCTGAGAAGTCCCGACATGGGGGCAGTGAGGGGACTATGTGAGGGAGGGCCAAGAACAGAGGAAGGAGGGCAGACAGCTGCGGTGGTGGGAGAAGGCTCGGGTTAAGTCAAATACCCATTTACAGCGCTGAAGGCCATCCCAGCCCAAAGGTCGGTCCTTGGGCAGAAGGCATCAAGGGGACTTACTTGTAGCCTGAGGCATACAGGGACTCACAGATGAGCTTCATGTGGTTATTCATGAGCTTTTTCACAATGTTGGTGCCCACCACGTGGAAATGTGAAAGATCGCTTGCTGTGCGCAGCAGGATGGCCTCGAGAACTTGAAATATTAACAGTATCTGCAAAGATGGAATGGAGGCAATTATGCTTCCCCGCATGCTTTTCTATTCAAATAGGTAACGGCTTGCTGACAACTGCACGATATGAACTGAGAAGGGTGCAAAGATTAGGTCTCCTGGCGTGGGGGCTGCTCCGATCCACAGCTTTAGGGCAGTAACTCTGAGATTTCCAAAGGTGCTTAAGTCGCCTAAACATTTAACCCTTTGCATCTAGAGTCTGAGTCTGTAACACAGTGACTTTTAAAAAACTGTTTCTTTCTTGTTGAGGCCAACCCTGCTGACACCAAGCACACCTAGACTCAAAGAAACTGTCCTCCTGCTGTGATGAGTCACCCAATGACAATACGCAGTTTCCCCACTAAAAAGGCCCATGAATGTAAAACGGAATGCCTTCCGAGCCCAAAGACAGTCTCCTTTTCTGTAGAAAGCTAGTAACTAGGCATGGAAATGTGCGCTACATCTCTTGTCAGCAAGCTCAGCACCACAGTAACATTACTTTTCCTCTCCTCATCAGCCAGGTAAGGAACAGCTTACTTCACTTTCAGGCCGCTTCTCTCCACTCAGGAGTTGGAAAAGCTCTGCGCACTCGACAGATATCTTTATATATCCTTCCACGACATCGTACATCCCTGCCTGTGGCAGCTTCTTCGCCATCGTGACAAACGCTTCCAAGGCTGAAATTAAATTACACTTGCATGTTAACAAGACAGTCTTCAGACCACAAGAGCTGCTTTAGAAGCAATCAGTCACTGCCACTGCACCCACTCCCCCGGGCAATGCCTGCTCCCCAACCCACTCACAGCCTCAGAGGCCGCTAGTGGAAGCAAGGGAGGAAGATCACAAACTGAGCCCCGCCCAGATCCCCAGGAGCCTCAATTCCCTCTCCATAGAGGAGCTAAGAATAAGTATAGGGTATTCTAACACGACGGTGCTTTGGTGGTCTAGTGGTTACGCGCTGGGCTGCTAACCACAAGGGCAGCAGTTTGAAACCATCAGCCACTCCTCCGGAGAAAGATGGGACTTTCCTATTCTTATAGAGAGTTACAGTCTCAGAAACCCACAGGGGCAGTTCTACCTTGTCCTACAGAGTCGCTATGAGTCGGCACCAACTCGATGGCAGTGAGTTTGGGTTTGTGTATGTAACACGGTAACAGAAGACCTTTACCTGCATCACAACATTGTGATACTGCAGCCCCTGCACTATAGGTTAGCATTCTTTTCCAAGTTGTAATGCAACCTTTCTCTGACAGCAGCCACATTCATTCATTCACTATTTACTGAGTGGTTCTGACTTGCAGGCACTGCTCTGGACACTGGGATACTCCACCACTGCACATCCGGGGCGGCGTCATCTAGAAGCGATTCTAAGAAAGGGCACCGAGTGTTCCGACAGAGGTGGCTGTGGGTCACATGAGCTCAATCCTCATGGACATCCTGGAGGCACTTACAATGTCCCCCTCATCACATTCCAGAAATCCGAGGACACGAGATGCTATGATCGGGCTGGCCGAGCTATTACTGACGCACGTCGTAAGGAGTCATTGCCAGCCTGTGACAGTGGGTTAAACACTGGGCTGACAACTGCAGAGTCAGCAGTTCACACTGCCAGCTGTTCCAAGGGACCTGTGGTCTATTCCTGTTAAGATTGACAGTCTCAGAAACCCTAAGGAGCAATTCTGCTCTGTCCTATAGGGTTGCTGAGTTCCAGTGGACTCAACCACAGTAGGTTTGGCTACCCAACATGTCACTCCCAGCCATCCTGAGAAGCAATGGCCTACTAGCCACGCCATCTCGCCGCCATCTCTCCACGGGCATTCATCCTTTCTCCTAACACTTACCGCTCACCAGCCCCAAGCATGAGGTAGTACATGAAGTGACTGAGGTCAGCTGTGATCCAACTGGAAAAGGCCTCAACCTACACAGTACTTACCATCAATCTACTGGCACACTCCATCAAAGGCATCTCCCTCCCAATACAATGGCCACAATACAAATACAGTAACTTTTAAAACAAAAAAGTTACTTTCAAATGAGTACATATGCTCTTTCTTCTGCCTAAAAAGCTCCTGTCTTTGCCCCTGCCGCAACCTACAAACCTACAAAAAGAAGAAGCCCCTTCTTTTTGGTCCTTTGAGCCCCCGGATCAGATCTGAGGTTTCTGTTAGGCGCAGTGCACTTCACCTTGGGCGGACTTGTGCTAGGCACCTTACCTCTGTGATGTTACCATGTGACGTCTCCCTGGACTTGGCACACCTATGACGGCAGGCTTGCGTCTGATCTTTACTCCCCACTCTCTCCCATTGTGTGGAGTCCATTTTCACTCACCGCGATCCTGTGCGCATCAGATTAGCTAGCCTTTTAGTTAGTCAAGCACAAGTGCTTGCAAATAACGTTGTTGGAGGCTGCCGAGTCTGCAGGTTCTCAGCCACCCTATAGGACAGTGCAGAACCACCCCATGCACAGGACTGCACAGGGTGTCCTTCTGCTGTACGCCAGGACCGACCTGAAGGCACCTAACAGGAATAATCCTTATAGGAACAGATTACCAGGTCTTTTTTCCATGGAGCAGCTGGTGGGTTTGAACCAGTGACCTTTCATTTAGCAGGTGAACAGTTAACCACAGGCCTCCTTTTGTAAATAACCCAGTAAATACTTAAGGAGCCCCATTGGCACAATGGTTAAGCACCTGACTGTTAACCAAAAGATCAGCAGTTCAAATCTACTCAGAGAAAGACTGGTGCTTCCATACTCTGCTTCCCTAGAGACTATGGTCAGGAAAACCCCGTGGGGCAGTTCAACTTGACATCATCGAAAAACAGTACTTCAGAGTCACTAGGGGCACATACAGTAAAACACTTGGTTACTAACTAAAAGGTGCGGGGTTCAAATCTACCCAGTGATGCCTCAGGAGAAAGGCCTGGCAATCTGCTTCCAAAAAAGCAGCCCAGCACAGGTCTACACCGATACGCACGGGGCCCTGTGAGTCAGAGGCCACTCCATAGCAAATGGTTTCATACATACTGAATGATGCTAAGTCTCAGAGCCATCGAGTCAATGCTGACTCCCAGCAGCCCTGCTGTCCACTCCCAAGGCTGTAACTGTTTACAGAAATAGGAAACAACCCAGGCGTTCCCCGAGGGGCGGCTGGTGGTTTCAAACTGCCCACCATGCAAATCACAGCCCAACGAGTAACCACTACACCACCAGGGCTCCTTGAATGGATGCTAAAGCAGGTATCGTTTCCAACTTACTAGCAGTTTTAAGTATTAAACGTTTGAAACAAGGTATGTGAGAAAAAAATGTGAAAGAGAGAAAACTCTGGCCATAAATCTACTAGTTTCTTTCATCTGGAAGAAACAGTCCCTGTGTTATTTTAACAAAGTTTCCACGTTTATGTTCAACCGGGCCCCTCCCCCTCCCCAAACCTGCATATTTTCTGGAGTTCAAGTACTCCCTCAGATTCAACTATTGAACTACAGAATGTGCTCTGCACCAGGCACTGGTCTAATCCTGGTAAACTGACAGGCCATGGGGGTGGATTCTGGTATTTGCGGTGTATTTGTCCCATGTTGACAAAAGAGTGTGCCTGTTGGAGGACTGATGCTGACAGCTCATAAGGCAGCAAACCACCTCGATGGATAGCCCAGAGCTGATGCACACTGGAATCAATAAACATTTGTTGTGTGAATGAGCACACACCCTCCCTACTTTCCTGACAAATCCAATAGAGAGATGTCAAGCCTGCTGAGGAACGCTGCCCAAGCACTGGAAACGTGAGGCGGCACGAAACTCACAAACCAGCACGTCGCGGTGCTCTTGCTGCGGCTGACAGCTCGGGGCAGAGGTCCGCAGCGGGCAGTGCTGAGGCTGCGCACGCCGGCCCGGGACCCTCCCTCGGACACTCGGTGACGCAAAAGCTGCAGGAAGTTCTCTGTCTACCCGGACCGCGGCCGGGAGACCACTGCCGAAGCACGTGCACCTCCACCCCGGCCGCGACCCTGCACTCACCTGGCCCGGCACCTCGCGAGTCCCGTAGCTGAGCCTTGAACTGCACGCCTGTGAGCTGGTCAGCGCGGATCCGCTTGGCTGCGCCCACGGGGGAAGCTGCGCCATCTTGAGTGCCCGGGACCTTCCTTTTGGGGACCCCCATGGCCGGGAAGGCTGTGGTGGGGGACGCGACCCACACACTGTCCTGGACCTGCCGAAAACCGCGCGCCTGGGGCAGACGGTCTCAGGAACACACGTGGGCAGGGAGGGGAGGGGCTCCAGGAAGGGGCGGGACAGAGAGGACATGCGTAAGCGGAAGAGGCGGGACTTGGACAGGGGCGTGGCCGGTACTGTGGGCGGGACCTTGTAAGGGGCGGGGCGCGGGCTGGAGGGGAGGCTGCTGGCTGCGTGTCTGAGTTTGCGCGGTGTGACCCTTTTCCTCTGGCTTTCCCCTGACACGGGGTTGGTCTGCGGCTTTCGGGGACGCCCTGACGCGAAAACTCGCAGACCGTCCCTCATCGCACCTGTGCGGGACGGAGCGGCCCTGTCCCGAAGCTTCCTAGGGCGACACCAGCGTCAGTTCCGACTGCAGACAGCAGAGCCAGCCTTAAGCAGCCCTATGGGCTGCGGGAGCCAAAGGATGCAGGATGAAAAACTGCTTCGACGGAGACAAAAGTACAGATGTGAGCTTAGCCAGTAAATGCATTCCGGAATAAAATGGAAGTATAAATGAATCCATTAAAAACATTTTTTGAAGACAGGTGCATTTTGTACGCCTACACCAGTGCTTGGTTAAGTGGCCACATAAATTATGACCCAGCTCATCAGATGGATGCTGAGTTTTCTCTGTAGGTGCCCTCTAGTCTGATCTGAGTGCCCAGTGTTCTTTAGAGTCTTGGGAACAGGCCTTTTTTGGCTTGTGGAGATTTCAGAATGTCTCTGGTAAAATCCGATGATGTAGACCGGCAGCCTCTGGCCTGGCAGGACTCTTGTCGCTCCGGAAATGCCCATGTTAGTGCCAGTCAGACAAGAGCCAGCCAGCAGGTTTGAGCTGTTCCATCAGTAAGCAAACGGATGTGCTAAAAATACAGCTTGTAAAGGTCAACACTCTAATTAGAAAGACAGACTTAATTCTCAATAGTTCCCCTAGTGGGTCTTTTCTCTCGTTAACTGGCATCTATAAGCATTATTTTCTGCCAGGGTGAATCTGACAGGCAGCAGAGAGAACTGTGTAACAGAAGTCCCAAGTTCAGATTCTGCTCAGATTCTTGGTCAAAGGAGTCCTTGGGTGATACCAGGAGTCAATACTCGGCTGTCAACCAAAAGACTGAGGGTTTGAGTCTTCCCAGAGGTAAGCCAGAAAGGTCTCTCTATCCACTTTAGAAAAACCAGTCCCTCAACGGTTTTAACTGGTTATCTTAAAAGGTGAGTCGACTCTTGGAATGCTGTCAAAAAGCTGCAAACCAAAAAAATCAATTTACTGAATCATAGTGACCTTATAGGACAAAGTAGACTTGCCCCTGAGGGTTTCTGAGATAAAACTACTAGAGTAGAAAGCCTCATCTTTCTCCAGCAGATCAGATGGTGGCTTCGAGCTGCTGACCCTACAGATAACGGTCCAGCACATAACCCACTGCTCTACCTGCATCAATAAACTGGTAAACCAGCCTCTGCAGGGTCGTGAGTTAGTCAAGGGAAGTGCCTAGCCGCTCATAGACAGTTTATGTCCAGTGGTCACACCTAACATTCACACCTCTTGAGTGCAAGTTTTTCTGCCTTTTTTTTTTGTGTGTGTGGCTTATTTTAACCCTATAAGGTTAAAGTCAAGTTCAGGAAAGGGATGAAAGAAGCAGCTCCATCAGAGCTCAGTGTCAAGTTCAGGTTCCAGCGTATGTATCATGGACTCTCAGACTATGAGAAGTGTATATTGTTCTACCCAAGATGAGTGTATGCATTACTCCACTGGGATTCAATGCCATCACATTGTAGAGAGGAGCCATGAGGAAATCCTTTCTCTCCTCTGATGAAAGTTTTCATCTCTTCAGTGGCAAATTTCTTCAGGTGGCATTTACCAAGCTCAAGACTACTCATTTATCTCTTTGATTGGCAATTTGAAGAGTGAAGCATTATTTCAAAGACCATCACTGTGAACTCCAACAAAAGAGACAGTGTCCCCTGAATACAGCAGAGAAGCCTATACTTCCCCTCAACTCAATAAAACGTCCAAACGCACTGACTTTTCTGCTATCTGCCTTGCATTCTACAGCTAGCCATGGGAGCTTTCGTAGGACGTATTTTCCCCGATAGGCAAGCATGGAGTAACTCACTCTGAGTTAGTGCACCCAGTGGCACCGCCTGGGAAGGTTCTCTCTGGTTACAGTGAATTTTTTCATGAAAGCAGTTTTGCTCTAACCTTGTTTTTTGTGACAGCCGATTTTGAGAGTAGCATGCAGCTGTGAAATTTTTTTTTAAAAAATTGTTTCCTACTCAGGAAATATGCCACAGAAGCTGTTGTGATGTTGAACATATCTTACAAGGACGGTACGATGGGAAAAACTCAAGTGTATACGTGGTTATCTTGTTTCAAAAACGGTGAAATGTCGATTGATAACAAACCTTGTTCTGGATGTCCGTCAACCTCCCGAATGGACGAAATGTCGACAAAATTCAAGCACTTGTGCTCGAGGACTTACAACAGATCATTGAAGAGATGAGGAACGTATTTGGACCGTCTTGGAGCTCAGTTCAGCGAATTTTATTTTATTTTTTTTATTTTTTAAATCATTTTATTAGGGGCTCTTATCACAATCCATACATACATCAATTGTGTAAAGCGCATTTGTACATTC